CAAATCTCCATCGGAAGGGCTGTGGTGCTGTGCGTAAAAGAGTCTGGCAAAGGGCGGTAGGGTTTTAGAAAATTTTGAAAAAAAATTTTTAAAAATTTGGCATGACCCCTCTCCTTTTTGAACTTTTTGGGATCAAACTTACCTCATCCTGCTGCTACTGCTTTCTTTGCTCCACCTTGACCAATCTGAAACCTTCTTTCTGTGTTTTTTTTTGTTTCATCTCCCTCGTATTCTATGTTCCCTATCACCCAACAGTGGATACCCTCCTCTCATACGAACAACAGCTAAACGATGAGAACGAAGAAATGACGAAGAAGATTGCCAAAGCCAAAACAACTTTCATCTGATATTTTCTGAGAACTTTTCTTATAATAAACGAAACGCATAATATATAAGAGAAGAACATATGAAATTCAATTGAAAGAGTGTAGACATGAAGACCATAAGATGAATCGAAGACCTTCTTCTCAGAAGAGAATCGTTGGCAGATCAGTGCGAGTTCGAGAGAAACATGACTTTGTAATTTATAACCGATTTGGCAGCACGTACTATGCTTGGAAAGAAAGTGAGAATCTGTTCCTGATGAGCGCTCGCATGACCGTACTGAGTTAACTTAGAGGCTGTTTTTGGAAAAAAACAAATATGAGCGGCTGTATCAGAGGAAAGTTTCAAAAGACTAGTTCGTTTCAAGTAAGACCTTATCAGAATGCGCCTGACGAATGTGTTGCAGAGAATCGCGGAAAGAGCTTTAAACATGAAACTAGAGGTACGAGATAGACATCAAAGAAAGGCTTGAGCTAGCCCATGTTAGAAAAACGTTCAAAAGAAATGAGTGGATCCTAAAAAACATAAACAACTAACATACACAACTAACATAAACCACTAACACAACCTCTCTCGAACCTTGTACAACTCAAAATGACGGTCCGGAACCGACTCCGCCCTCGACCATAGTATAAAGACCTAACTATAAACCAATTAATCAGATCGAAACATCAAAAACAAAAAGAAATCACCAATCTCTCGCTTGGAAACTGTTTGACCATGAAGTACAGAACAGTTTAAGCTGAAACGGGGTATACAGTTATACTGATGAAAGAGTCCCGAAAACAACAATCAAAAACGTTGCCAACGGTCATAACCTTTCACAAGAACTATCAGAATAAGGGTTCTATAGAAAAATTCAAAAAAGAAAGAGAAAATCGGTAAGAATTCGATTGAGTTATGCTTTCCTACGAGTTCTCCTACTTACAAGAGGCTAGTCTGCCACACAAGAATTACGTGGAAAACGTGAAACACAACCGCTTAGCCAAAATTTTTAATGGAATGAAACCTGAGCACCACCAAAAAGATTTTTATTTTCTCGCAAAAATGAAAAGTGTTGTTCACTTCGAAGATCCGACATGATGGAAGCACCGATGTGAGAAGACACATCGTTCTAACCGTCACAACTTTCTTCAAAATCAACGAAATTCCTTCAATTTTTTTCATTGGAAACATGGAGCCGGACATGATACAATCATAACATCAATATTTTGCTTTTCTCATTCCTTCATTTTCATTTTCTCTCGTTTTTCTCCTTCATATCTTCATAACCGTTGGACTTGTCAAGACCCGAAAGAGCGATGTTTTTCTACCTTTTCGCTGTTTTGACAAACAAATTTTTGGCAAAGAAATGATATATAAACATAAAAACATTTCTGTTAAACAAATATAACTATCACACATAACCTCTTGTGAAACGGTCAAAATGGCAAATGAGCAACACAACCTTTTAAATAGTTCCGCCAGAATACAGTTTTCAAACTACAAAGAACGGACTAAACTATCACAAAGATAAATATTCTTTTTTTTTTCAAAAATGTGACAACAATACAATTTAATTATCATGAAAGCATATCAGATTGCTTTTCATAGCATAGTTCTATTTACAATTTTGACAATATCTGTACAAATTCGTTTGGTTCAATCATCTGTTCGATTACTTCCGCGATTCGTGATACAAAGACAAACTCCATTTCATCCTGCAAACATCTTATTCTAAATCATTTTCTTAGAAATACCGACCTTGACAGCTTCATTAATATCATCTGTATCACTTCTGTTCTCTTCAGGCAAAACAACTCGCCTTATTCCAGCTCTATGAGCTCCGAGCACTTTTTCTTTCACTCCTCCTATCTTAATCATAGCAACAGATTATAATCAATATAAGATCGGGAGCATACGGGCAAAACGTGACCGGACAAACTGATTTCTCCAGTGATAGCTGTGTCACATCGAACTTTTCTGTTTGAAGCCAAAGAGAACAATGCAGACACAATGGCACACCCAGCAGACGGGCCATCCTGATCGTATTAGATTCAAGAACTGCATGAGATGAGCAATACCTTTTCAACTGCTCCAGCGGGGAAATGAATATGAATATCATCTTCATACAAATTAGAAATATCATATCTGAGAGTGATATAGGAAATAATAAGAAGGTAGCAGCTACAACTTACTTTGCAGCATTAGCTCTTATCCAGCTTCGAGCTACTTTTACACTTTCTTGAATTACTGAACCTAGTTTGCCTGTCATTAAAATTTCCCCTTTGCCGCAGTAATTCTTAGCTTCTGCAAAGATTGTTCTAAAGCTGATACAACACTAAGATCGATAACCTATGAGCAAAACCTCTCCACCAAACGTTGTATAAGCCATTCCGAAGCAGGTACCAAGCTCGAATCGGCTCATGACTTGTTGATAGAACTCATATTTCGAGAGCTTCTCTTTCTTAAATAATTGAGTACAGAAAAAAACGAAGATGAATGTCTCACCCCTAAGATTTCTCTACACTTCGCACTGTCCACAATGATAGGTAAATCCAAATCTGTTAAACAGTCAGTTTCTGAATCTGTATTCAGGGCTTCTGCCAACAATAAAGCCGAACGACGACAGACGGCAGCAATATTACGCTCCAGAGCACGAACACCAGATTCCCTCGTATAATCTTCGACTGAATCACGGATCATGAAGTAGTTATAATGTACGACATACTTACTAATTTTAGTGAGAGCTTCTCGAGTTATAACCAAATGATCAGGACAAATTCCATGAATTAATGTTTGACGTGGAACAATATGGTTTTCTCCGATTCGAACTTTTTCGGCTGTTGAATACCCAGACATTTCAATTATCTGAACATTCTTTTATTACCACATGCAATTTGTTAATGACTACTTCTAGGCGATCAGCCAACGGCCCTTCTATTTTAGAAGAATCATTGGATGTTGCGATGAACATAACATCGGATAGGTTGAATGGTAGATTCAGATAACTGAATAAAAGACATTAGCAAGATATGGGTCCACTAACTCAACTGGTCATTGAAAGTTCCGTTCTGCTCTGGATCAAGAACTTCTAGTAGTGCCGCTGAAGGGGATCCATTAACTCCCGCGTACTGCAAGAGAAAAGTAAAATTTCTGATAAGTTGAGCAATCGCACAAGTTTATCAATTTCGTCGAGTAGAATGACAGGATTTCGTGTACCAGCATGACTCAAAGCTTGTATGATCCGTCCAGCCATAGCACCTACATAGGTCCTTCTATGTCCTCTGATATCACTTTCATCTCGTATTCCTCCCAAGGATATCCTTTCGAATTTTCTACCCAAAGAGTTGGCAATCGCCTTAGCTATACTTGTCTTTCCGATACCAGGTGGACCAGAGAAACATAGAATTGGACCAGAAACCTGCAAGTCAACCTTAGTCAATTCAAAGCAAAACAATTATAACTTCATCGTTGATTTTTCGAACAGCCAAATACTCCATAACTCTTTCTTTCACTTTGGGCATTCCGTCATGAGATTCGTCTAGCAACTTCCGGGCTTTCCTCATATCTCCCGAATCTTTGCTCTTCTTATTCCACGGGAGTTGGCTTATGAACTCCAAATAAGTTGTTAATACGTGGTACTCACTACTCTGAGTTGATGTGCCTTTCAATCTTTCAAATTCTAGCATGACCCTTTCCTTGAAAAAAAGCAATACGTGTATGTCATAAAGATGTTAGAAGTTACTTTAGCGTTTGAAGGTATTCCAGCGCTTTTCAGTTTTGCCTCCAAGACTTCTATCGGATTCTTGAGTTGGGATGAGGAGTGAGTTTTCCTCGCTCCACCTTTCGCTACTAATGTGTCTAAGTTGACTTTATCTCGGATGAAGGCCATATCCTTAGAACTCTGTATTTAGTGTTAGTTACATCAGTTTGAAAGCTTCGCACCTTCTGTTGCTCTTGTAGCCAGTCAATTGCCATATTCACCCGTTTAGCAACATCCAATGTGGATAAATATTCTAACAGCGAAGAAAATTGTATATCGGGAAGAGTAGCAACACTGAAAACAGCTAAAGGTGTGAGCTCATATATAGTATGACGAACCAGAAATCGGAAATACTCCCTAACTGCTCTTCATTCAACAACTTTTTCAAAGTAAAAGATATATCCATGTCATCTACTTCTAAATTTTCCTTGTGTGACTCGGCTAGTTGGATCAAGAGCTTTCGTTCCTTTTCATCCACCTTGTCTTAAAAAAACAAAAACTGAAGATGAGAAGTATAGAAGTGATAATACTTTCAATTGGATGTAGCTGGCTGATCTTTGATATGGGTAGTGAGAATTGCTCAATCTTTGTTCGTGAAACTCCTAATAAGTGCAATGTATACTGTACATGATTTGAATATCTCCAACAGACAACTTGCTCAACCAAAGCTATTGTACCCGTCTCGAATACTTTCTTAAAGTAATTTAGAATGTTACTCGATTAAACCAAAACAAAAGATGACTTTCTCCTTCTCAATGCGATACACGACAACAATTAAAGATTTTCCTGTTCCAGTCTTATTCACTATAAACCTGTCGAGCATTGCTAAGCTAAGCAGTGAGATGAGAAAAAAAAGAGAAGAAGAACACTAACTTAGTTTTACTCCTAATGGGAATTTTCATCCTGCCCTCTGGCAAAAGAACGCCATTTGTGACGACTAATGTAGGCAATTCCATATCTGTAGTAGATAAGTTCTTCTTTCTATAACAATAAAAACCATAAAAAGTTACGAAAAATCATTAGAAACTGAGAGAAAAGTAATTGTCTGTGCGCGACCATATTTGCAATCAAACAATTGATCATCTGATAAGAGGGGGAAAACAGACTGGCAAAGTCCTTATTTGGGTCTTGTTTTCAATCAGCCGAACAGTACCCCCATTTTCTTTTTTCTCTTCTTCATTCACTGGCTCGCGAATCATATGATAAAGCCTGAATAATAAGGAGAATAGTCGACAGGTGATGATAAGGGAAACCTTTAGGAAACACTAAGCAACATGATCAAAGAAAAAATTTATACGATTGCACGATTGAGTTACACTAAACCTAATAAATAAATACTCTTAGAGAGTAATAAATACACTAGCTTACAAGGAAGTATTTGGCCTTATAGGGTTGATAAGACGTTACATTAAAAATCATCAGTTAGTTGGGATTAATCATCAAATGGCTTATGTACTCGATTAAGCTAGATAATCTAAGGAGAACGAATGGCTCTAGCAAAATTCGAAATAAAACTAAGATCAAACGGCTATCACAATACAAAGTGAAAGATACATTATTACAAAACCCAGTAAAACCCTTCCAAAAACACGTGTGGTCTGCACTGCAGAATTGTTTAGATATACAGGAAGTATTAATAAATAACATTTTGTACAACTAATAAGAGAACTGCTATCTTACGTCTCTAATCACATGGCTCGTCTTTGATTCTTACTTCGCCAATTACGGGCTTTATATCCTCGACTGTTTCTTCCTTAATAGCTTTGCGATCGAATACTGTTGCAATGGGATCAGTAGTAACACCGATGAAAGCTGCAATCGATCATTTTGTTTTCAGACTGAGCAATGATAAACTTACAAAGGAATGATTGAGGATCTTGAGCCAAATGCTTATGTATAATATGCAGCCGGAAGCTTTTGCGACTTCCCATGACAGACAAACATATGGGACACTGATTAACCAAGACTTGATCTTCAAAGTAATGATTAGAATGACTATTCATATGGATCCAACACCTGTCATCAATTCCTGCATTTTATCAATTTGAGCCCAGATATTACTTCCAGTCTGGTCAACATGAGCCACTAGATGTGAGTCACGCATCTTAAAGCAAGGTTAGAAAGAATTTCGTAAGAGCAACACTTACATGACGTGAATCGAATTGTTGATGGCAATACTTACAATTCCAATTCAAAATCTTTGCCTTAGCTTGGTGAACACGCTTTTCATGGTCACGAACTTCACGAACAGCTGAAACATAGTGATTAAAAGTGACTCTCAATGTTGTGATATTCAATAAAGACAACGAGGATGCCTCCTAGTCGACTAGGCGTCAATGTCTACGTGAGATATACGAAAATATTTTGTTTTCGTTTAGTATGCGCGTGTAAGCGGTTGTGTTGTTTGGTAGCGTCATGGCAACACAGAGATATCCAAATTGTGTATGTTGAGTATGCAGTAGCTTACTTGGAAAAGAACGATAGCAATGCCTGCACTCCATTAATGCTCCTTGGCCAGTTCTATCTTGATAGTGACTTGTCAAATGTGGCTCTAACTTCCATGCGAACTCTTTACAAATTCTGAAACGCAGAGAGGATGAAAGAATGGTGAAACTCGATAAATACCGGCAAAGATGTTGATTCCTGAGAGCTTTGAGGTTTACATTACATTTGGGACAGGAAAACTTTGGCGATGGTGAATGCTATAAAGACTAGATGAACAAAAGTTAAACTATAATGTCAAACCTCAAGAACGAGATGTTCGTGCAAGTTCTCGTGTTTGTAAAAGTTTTTGCCACAGCAAGAGACATCGAATGGAGTTTTTTTACACTGATATTCAATTATGATATCTATAAATAGTAGTATTATAGTAATATGAATAGAGAATGAACTGACCATTATCTACCTCAATAGGACTGTTAGTTTCAGAAATACTTTCACAGGAATCAGAATCTAATGACGACTCACTTCCCAAGGAAGATAACTCGCACGAGTTTCCACTTTCCGAAATACTTCTCTTCTTCACAATGAAATTGTTTTCGTTTGAGCAGGACAAACTATTGGATTTTCTTCGATGGTTTTCCTACAAAAAAAAGGATTTGTTGAGCAGAAACAGTTGTCCCATCACGTGACGAAATCTCAAACTGAATAACAACAACATACCGAAGACATCATCGTTTCTTCAATCAAATTGGGACTCTTTGTAAGAGCTTTTTGAACCACAGACGAGAAAATGTCATCATATTTTTTTTGGATGCACTTTCGAAATCGAGTGTGATAAATGCGACTGAAAAAAAGAAACTAAAAGTCGAAAAAAACGATAAGGCGATAAACCTGTCAGGATCTGAGATTGATGTAGTAGGAGCCATTATAAAAACATGTAATAGATACAATATTGCTCTTATCGAACACCTAAACAAAAAGTCAATAATACGAAGACTATTGGTGTGGCCCTATATGGAAATAATGCCACGCAACGGAGCGAGAGCCTATGACAACAAACCTTCTTTATGCAGATTCCTGACGAAGCATTCTCTGATTCAAATAGTTAAGGTTAGTAGAAATTAGAATAGAACGGTCCAGCCGATCAAAATAACTGAAAACAAAAATGAAAATTCGGGATTCGAAAATGTTTAAAGAAGGAAGAAAAGACAGCAAATTAAGTAAACAATCGAGAAACACGTGGAAGAATATAAGAGAGGGAAAAGAAAAAAAGGATTCACAAGCATAGAAAGAAACATAATTGGTAGGAGACGTAGAAAAAAATTAACAACAAAAACAACAGGAAATACCATCATTCTAACAATATTTAAAAAAAAAATGACGCACAACCAATATTATTACGAAACGATAGAGAAGTAGAGAACGCCAAGCTAGAGATCAAAGGACACATCGGGATTCAGCCATAGAGACGGCGACTATAAAATCTGTGACAGAAAAGTCGTCCTGATTTGGCGTCATCTAGGCGATTACAAGAAATACGAGGAATCCATCAGGCCATGAGGACGAATACAGACCCAAGGACCCGTAATCAATAGACGCGCAAGAGAGTGGGCAGGACTACTCGTTGGGTGAAACACAACAACCTCCGTGTGCAAACTGGCTTATACTTGTCTCCGCCTCGTTTTTCGTTTTACTTTTCAGCTTAATTAATAGAAATATACTTGTATCATATAAACTTTAATATTCTCATAATAAATAAAATTTAATTTAGCATCATCACAAACCCAATACGTTATCACAGCTGATTAAGAGACTAGAATGACTTCATGATAATCAGAGATCTTTTTCAAAATTCAATAAATTAAATAAATAATATTATGGACTTATAGATTTCGTTTAACCAGCTTTTCTAATCTTTTCATAGAATTGCTCTCTGACAATCCATCCGCAGCTAAAGATACAACGGCAGTCAATGCTTGGCTAGCCGTAAGATGAGACTGTGATGGAATTGGTTCAGAACCTCCGAATTTTTGTCTAAAAAACGATTTCCGGTTTGTGGATTTAGTCGGCAAACTGTCTCACCTGTAGATGTGAATGATGGAAGCTTGTTCTGCACGTTTGAGACCCCTCATTTCCAAAACCTAAAAACAGGGAAAAGAGATGGAAAGAAAAGAAAAAATTGAATACTTTTTGCAATTCCGTGGGGTTAGAATCGGACAGAAGGGTTGCATAATGCTCAACGAAGCTCTCAGCAGAATCACAATTCGACATAACAACCTATGAACATTGAAAATTGGTTGAATAGCTATCACACACATACCTTCAAAATCATTTCAGCTTTGGTTAAAGCTTGTGTCACGCCATTCACGTAAGTTGTCGGTGGCTTAGCATTTATCGCACTATCTATGGAAGGCATCTGTAGAAGGAATGACTTCAAGGAGTGAGTGTCCAGTAGAAGTTGTTCAGCGCCTGAACAAAGGGTTATCGAATTTATAAGTCAGTGTCAATTTACCATGAAGACTCATAGGCTTACATCTATATAAAGCCCCAACGAATTTATGTGAAAGCTGAGTAGCAAGCTTCAAACACAAATGAGCGAAATATTTTCTCCTATCCGAGAGGAAATCTCGGAGAACGGGAACGGCTTGCCTTATATGATTTCTTATTGAAGCAATGAATGGAGATTCATCTCCTACACCATCAACAGCTGCCCAACTTCAAGTAATTTGAGTTGAGAAACAGAAAACGTTTCTTTACATACTTCACTTTGGCGATTGCTTGTAAAGCAGCATCGCAAGCACTTTCGACGTCTTGGACCAAAACCGATAAAGACTGATTGGCAATGCTGTAGAAAATCTCACTTTCTTGATTCAAATCGATACCCTGCAAGTAATTGATGATCACTTAAGAATCTCTAGAAAAACACCAACGGGCAAGCGCTGGCCAAGTTTCTCCTGTAGTTGAAGAGTTGTTTCGGCACACCAATCAGCTGTTGCGAGAATACAACACGTCAAAAACTGCTGATCGATAGTTAATCTATAAACTTGAGAGATAACAAACGCAAAAACAAGTTTCCGTGGAACCTTATATGGGTAGATTCTTCACGAACCAGGTTGAACAAGTTCGCAGCGCTTGATCCGCTGGATTGCCCCAAACTTGTAGGTAAAAATGATGTCAAACAACTGTGAGCATATCCCCTCAAACACCCTCTCACAACATTAACAACATCTCTGAAATAAAACAGCTGTTTTGGACTGAGAAACTCAGAACTTGCTTGAGTAAAGCATCTGGTTCACTGCTCAGTTTGCTGGATTCCGTTATCACTCGTTTTAACAATAAAAACATATCGGCAGATGATGGAAGAGGAACTGCATGGGTTGTCGTGTCTCGAGAAGGTCTTTCCGATCCAGATCTATCTCTCAGAGTATAATGAAAACCTCGAGAGTAATTTTTACCGAATTTTCACCGCACATCCATCAACGAATTCGTTCAACGTCTTCTCCTGAGCAGAAATAAAGACGTCCAAGAATTGATCAAAAACACTCCAGATGGCCTAGAAACGGACAGAACGCTATTAGAAAAGTAAGAGATGGGCTTACCTTCTCAAAGTTGTATGATCCTTTAGTGGGGAATCTCTTGATCAAGAGGGCTTCTAACATTTTTGTATGTTGAATGGCATGACCGAGAAGTCTCCACTCCAAATCTTGTCTCCTTCTTGTCATCATTCGGAATAAAACATCTCTGGATAGCTCATAGTGAAATAAAAACATTCAAGAAAACACGGACTTAGTAATTGAACAGAACTCTCTTGTCATTTGACGGCCCATATCCCAATCAGACGGAAAAACGTTAGCTAATCCAGTGCGTTCGAAGTCTGTTAGTTTCCTAACATACCACTTGTACCTTAAAAACGCTTGTGGCTTAGAAACGTTCGTTCTTTAGGAAAACCTGTCGTCTATTTTGTCTAGCCATGCTCCTTCTTCGTTCTCGGCATAGAGAACAGTATATTCAGAGAGCTGCTGGTCTATGAACCACTTGCACAAGTTCTCTTGAACGCCTCCCTCCAGAGCAGCAGCGACACGGCACATATCGGTAACTCTTTCATTCAACTGACCAGACTGAAAGCGACATTTTCACAAACTATCTTTCATTTAATGTTTATACCTGGAAAGCAGCTTTCAAATCCACAACAAGTTGACCAGTGAGTGACTGTTTTAGCTTTTCCAATCTTCGAGTGATTTGAGTGATCTGTTCAGCATCCTTGAAACCGTCGAAGAGCTGGAGAACATTTAGAATTGCCGGTAATTGTCTAGCTATGGAAGAGTAATCCCGTTTTTCTACCCAAATAGCTGAAACAGTTGGTGAAGAGCTGGAGATTTCTATACAATACCTAATGAGTCAACTCCCGTCAAGAGAATATGAAGATGATGAAGTGTTGTGATGGAGGAAGTCAAATTTCTCTTAGCAATATCCAACTGCTTGATATCTCGAGTCATTTCACGAACAATCTAATACCGAATAACTATAGAGAGAAACATTAATTTCACTTACATCATCCGAAGATTTCGTTTTTCCTCTTATATTTTCAATTCTACTTTCCAACTGTTCCATAGCTTTGTGAGCCTGATTGGAAAACGTTATAGTGAAGAATGTATTAGCACATCATACCTCTTCCAGGGCTTTTTCACCTTGAGCACTAACAGATCCTTGAGACTCCACAAGACCAGCCTGGAGCGGAGAATCAAAAATAAATTATCTAGCATCTCTTACAAGTTCGGTGTCTAATTCTAGAATTTCAGCTTCAACTTGAGCAATAACGTTATCTAATTGAGTCAACGATTGTTCGGTAGGGAAAAGCTCATTTATCTGAGCTGTAAGTCCTATATCAGGTTGACAAAACTCTGTTCTACACATGTCTAAATATATCATGATTAAACAGTTGTTAAGCTCCTTAGTGTATTCACCTTTGATGGCTTCTTCTGTGCTTGCACCGAAAGTAATGTCATCCTCATCCTGATCAAGATGATTGGATAAATCCAAAGGAATATTAGACTTCTGATCAGTTTTCCTGCTCATTGTGCACGGTGAATGCAGGAGAGTTACGATATGGAGCGATTACACGCGATAGAATTATGCTAATTATACTATTTTGATTTTCAGATTACGGTAAGCAAAGTACGTGAACACGCAACATTTGCGGTCACACGCTGCTTCCATCCCAATAGTTAAGAACAGCACAGAGCATTGCATTTTCGTATTTGTTTCAATGCTTTTTTTGTTTTATTTTTCTATTCTTTTTTTTGCTGATTATCAATTTTTCCAATTTATAGAATATGTCCATGGTAAACAAAGATGCTGTTATGAAAGGTGGCTTGAAGCTGAAGAAAGGCGATATCTTCAAGAAGAAGAAGAAGACTATCGATCTTAAGACTGTTGATTTGACTATTCAGAAGGATGATAATGCCAAATCAATCAAGAAAACAAAGGCTGAACTTGCTTTTGAGAAACGTCAGGAAGCTAATATGGTTTGATTTCTTTTCATTTAATGTTGACTGTTTCGATATTTTTCAGTTCGAACGTATGCAGAAGAAGGCTGCTGTAAGTCATCGTGAGAAGGTGGAACAGTTCAATAAACAAATGAGTGAATTGACTGAATTCAACGACATCCCTAAAGTTTCCTGGACCAAGTAATAATAAGAATACAGCTTCTGATCTTCAATGCACATTACTGTATATATTCATCATGAACAATAAAATTGTAATTTCTATCTTTGCCTCATTGGTATCGAAATCTATACTAAATCATTATTTGTGAATGAAAGCTTCAATGAGAGTCTGCTTGTATGGCTCTAACTAACTCCATGGAGGAGAAGTACACTCCAGAAACACAGATGGTACAGCCTAATCCGATGATGAATTGGTCGAAACGACGATCGATATCCACCATGCGAGTACCTCGAATTTTCAAATGAAACAGTGCTGGCCATATGAACGAAAGCATAGTTCCTTAAAGTGAGCTTTGTCAACCCTATTCATATCTCTTCAAACCAGTGATATTGCCGATAAGTCCCATCAACTCTATGAGATAAGGAACTGAAAGTGCGACAAATAATGTGAACAGTAAGAGCAAAATTCTTAGGAACAAAGCCCATTCTCTTAAGCTTCCGTCAGGACTATAACATCTGAAAAGGTATATGACCAATGAGATTGTCATTTCGAGAAACAGTACGCAGTAAACAGTGTTGTTTTCGTTCCTTTGAAGAAGTTGTCTCGTAATAACTGGACAGTTGCATAAAACGGAAGTGGATATGACAATAGAGCTTTGACAACCAGAACCAAGTTGACAATGATTTTGAAACCTTGGTTAGGCAGAGAATTGGATATTTCTTGCTAAAATCGAGCTCTTTAAATTTTCATAGAAGATTTGAGAAAACCTGAGTAAGCTCAGCGAATGTTAAATAGCCCATCAAACCGAATGTGGCTTTGAAAACAGCAGCAGCAATGTGAGACCAACAGAGCATCCATTTGAACTCAGAAGGATTCTAGAGCAGAGTTAACAAAGCATCAATTTTTTTCAAGTTAAAACCTGCATGTTTCCTTCCAAACTAGGCAGAAAAATGTGAGATGTGTAACCAAACACAACAACTCCGATCATTGTAGGGAATGTGTTGATATTCAGAGCAAACGTTACGGAGCTTAATGACCAACTACCGATCTACAATAATAGCTTATGGCATTCGATATCAGAGCCGTTTCGTTACTTGAGATATGCAGTATATCATCATGATTGCATTAACGATAAGATGAGAAACTGCATTAGCCATGGAAAGTTGTGAAACGAGAACGAGAGAATCGAGAAAAGCACAACTCAGGAGGATGGCTGCCACTAACATCATCCATGCTGGCTTATCTATGAGAAAAGTAAAAGATTCTGAAAGATTGTTAACCTACCAATGCTAGGGAAACAGCTCTGTAGTAAATCTGCTGCTAATACCAGATAGATAATACAGGTAGAAAGAAGCTCAGTTATTTGAGCAGCAAGCACCCATTTTCCGAACCCTGGATGATAGAATTCAGCTACCTAAACAGAAGAAACAAATTGTTTGTTTGTTTTTGTTCAAATTGTTCTACCTCTCGATAACTATGACGAACTTTCTGATCGCCTTCATAAAGACATTCGATTAACAGCATACCAGTCCAATAGCATATGTAGGCTACTCCGATCATGGCAGCTACTGACCACCAGCCACCAACCTAAGAATTAAGCTTGAAGAATGCAACCATTCTGTGAGTTTTCTTTTGTATTTTCGCTCAAGTGTTGTGATAGTTGATAGCTTAGAACTGATCGTTCAGTAATTTGGTACCTTAACAGCGATTGGTAAGCCAACAATGAACATTCCTTGTATTGCGTTAGTAACATTCCAGGCAGCCTGAAGGGCCGTGATAGCTTCTTTTCCTGTAAATGGTGGATGTAAAAGGTACTTTCAGTAAGTTAGGATAATTGAAGAGAGTAGTTGAAAAATCAAATTAACCTGAATGAGGGTCCTCGTCCGTTTCTACTTCATCAACCTCTTGCACAGTTGCCATTTGGTAAGAATCATTACCTTGCGGATCGCCCCCATCTTCACCTCCGACCGTTCCTAGAGAAAGAAAGGTATGATACGCATATAGTTGAAGTTTTACCATAATGATGATTAACACTGACTTGTCCAGCTGTAGGTTCTTGATTCCAATAATCAAGAGAGGAAGTAAAGATATGCTTATTACTCCAATCTTGGATGGTTTGTAACCGACGGTTTGGCTGCATCGTGCGATTGTCTGCAAGAAAGCCTAATTGCCGTAGTCCCAACATAGTTCACAGAGCGGCAAGCCATTAGAAAGCGCGAAAGAGTTAAGTGCTATTTTTGAAATGAAAATTAATATGTCTCGAAGCAGATAAAGTGTAAAGCAATAGTGAAATTAGCGTCATAACTATTGAGAGATTGGACCTCTAACGTAGTATTCTGTTCCATTATTGCTCGTCATTAAAGGAGCAGTAGGTCGTATCGGTGGAATGGGTTGAGATGATGTGTTAGATCTGCTCATTTTGAATACTATTCGAGAAAAATCAAAGCTGGAATCTGTCTACTTTTGATGATTCCAACCCGAGGAAGATCTTATACTACTAGTTGGTAATACGGTAGCTATGAGGTTCAGAATGGAAATAATGCCAGTTCTATGTGATAGATGGAAATTTCTTTCCGGGCAACCAGTGATATGCCAAAGATGGGATGAAAAAGAAGAAACAATTATCGATGTTGGCATTGTAGCCAACGGCTATGTGTTCCTCAATCGACAACGCTGAAGTGCCTGAGGACATGTAGGCTTAGAAGACAAGCACCCTCATATTGCATCTAAATTCTACGGTTATATAAGAGAGCTTGAATCACGAAATGTTACTAAAATGTGTGAACGTGAACCTTAGCTCAAGCAGTTTGACGAAAAGCCGAAAAAGGAGGGTTCATACTGACCGACTAACCTAATATGCTAATGCAGCGAAGCAGAGATTGAAAGCGAAAAAGCAAATGAAAAATCAAAAATATTTCAACATCTTCTGTTCTAAAAGACGTATGTTAAATAGTAAACTTCTAGCATCTCCATTCTTAATCCCCTCATCATTATGATGGTTGTGCGAGTGATTCATCTTCAACCCCTAAAAGACATACAACACCAAAGCCATAAGAGACAAGCACAGGATTACAAAGACATAATCGGAATGAAAAGCATACTTTGAAGACGGATTACTTTCTTGAATTCTATTGTTTTAAACTGTTCAACTCTTGCCCTCAATGTAATATCTAAAATAGAAGAATGGATCAAAGAATTTGAAGCCTTCAAGACTGCGATGCATTCGTGTTTGTTTGATAATCTCTTTATTATCAGTTAGATTGCAGATAACATCTGCAGTATATACAAATCTCACATAAATTCTTTTTTTCTTCAGAATTAATCTTAAATAGGTTGGAAAAGAAGTTCCATTTGCATTGTTGAAATTTGGAGAGAAAGATTCATCATTCCTATTCCAAATGAAGGATTAAACATATTTTGCTGAAAAGCTTATATATAAAAACTTCAAAATGTGACGAACCAATCCTTTCTGTGTCGAAAACGATGTAAGAGCCATTGAGTTCTCAGTAATTAGCCATTGGAAAACTTTTAAACGCTCCTCTTCGGAGAAGTTCGATGAAAACTAAACAATTTATTATCCATGTACCATGGCAAATATTGAAACAGACTTGATCCATTAACTGAAAGGTATTCTTGTGCTTCTCAACAAAAGCCGCCAGCTTCCCACTCTCTGCTTCCGTACACAGTACTTTTGACTGGAATTGTGATAACACCTGGATTAACATACAAAAGTCTGATATTCACTTCATTCACGGCATGCAGAACTGCATTTGTAGCTTGACCTTGCTGAGCAAAAGTTTTCAAATCATCTTGGAAAGTCACGTTATCTCTGGAGAACTTCAACAGTTTTGGAATACATCTGTCTTGAGCATTTCCAAACACAGGCTAAGAAAACGCTTTTCTTCCTAATTCCCTTAAAAACACAAACCGATTCTGGCAATTTGAATGGAGGAAGGGTGGGCCAGCCTTTCTGAAACACATTTTTTATTCTGTCACTACATGCCAAACATACAAATATATTAGGATCTAGAGTAGGCAGTGGTGGGAGTGTCGGAATATTTTTCTGAAGAGAACATTCTAACATTCAAAGTTAATTAGAAAATATACAAAGAAGTCAGGATCTATGGTAGGTAACTGGATAGGAGCTATAGTTGGTAAATTCTTCTGAAATCCCCAGGTAAAAAAGCTCAGAAACAAATTTAACTTACGAAGAAGTCAGGATCTATGGTAGGTATCTGGATAGGAGCTAAAGTTGGAAAATTTTTCTAAAATCTGAAAGGTAAGATACTTTAGAAAGAAATTTAACTTACGAAGAAATCAGGATCTATAGTAGGTAAAACAAGCGGAGGGAGGGTCGGAAGACTAGCCTGTACTTTTGAATGGAAAACAAATTGTATTTTGAACTCACGAAAAAAGACGAATCGATAGTTGGAATTTGGATCGGCGGAATATTGGGTAACGATTTCTGGAATGTATCGATTTGGTTTCGGAAATCTATCGGTAATAACCAATATTTTGTTGATATCAATTGTTGGTATGGGACTTGGTTGAATTATGGGACCAAAAAGCTGTTCTATGGGGATTGGGGCAATTGTAGCGAACGAATTCTGTAAGACAGTTCCATCTTTCAGGAAGATAAGAAATTGAAACTTACCAGCATTTTTCCTACATCTTCTACGAAATTCGAAGTGGAAGCCTTTGTTGCATTTGGAACACTTGATGTTGTAGTCAAATCGAATGTACTTTTGCTTGCTTCCGTCGTTTGATCCGAAGACGGAGAAACAGTAGAAGTTGGAGCATCCTGAAAATTGTTAATAAGATTTATCATCTTTTTTTTTTGAAAAGATGTTTTGGCGCTCTCATTTGCATACGTGTTTGGGAAGTCTTACACCTTGCCAGACACGTTGCAATTTACATTTTCTTCAGAAAGACTTTCAAACGGTTGTTTATTGTATTTTTTGATTCAAACAGGCAAACAGCAGGTAATTAACATCTTCTTGAGATAAAAAAATAATTAAAACAGGCTTCAACACAATCAGCAAATGAAGAACATTGGAAACTAAAAACATTCTGGAACTTGGATTAGCATTCTTATGGTGTTCTATTCTATCTATATCTAGAACAGAACAAACTGCTTCGAAGAAATTAAATCGAATGAGAACAGCGAATTACCTCAGCTCGGCTGTTGGCTATGATAATGAAAACAAAGCTCAAATGTATGAGATTCATTTTTTTCCTGGTTTGGGAAAGTCAAAAGCTCATTGAAGTTTTTCATTAGGTCTGAGCTACTTATATCTGGTTGCACATACCGGCAAAAGCTGTTCATACATGTCCTCCGGTGCTCTTCTTTTCCTCAACAAAGAATCGGCTCGGTTGCGTTTGTGAATCAAGCAAAACAATTGAGCCTTTAAAGCTCAATTCATTTGCAATATTTGCCATCATTTGTTTCTTCTCTTCGAGCTCCTACCCTGCCCAAACCCTCCTTTGCTTTTTATTAAACTCAGAACAAAAGCACATGAGGGAAAACCATGTTTTTAATGCAGATAATCCCTTTGCAAAAACAATTCTCGTTTACGTGCGCCTCATGTGCACTTCGTCTGAAAAAACAGTTCAGCCCTTTCGGTAGAACAACACGAGCGTGAGAGTCCTGATAATACGTTAATATCTATGAGAACTGATTAAAAAAAATAGATTTATTCACATGAAAAGCTTCAAACCGTGACAGAATGTATTCCGTCAAATATACAAATATGTTTCAGAAATGGCACATTAGAAACTACATGAAATGGAGAATCGGCACATGGAATGTTTTAAAAACAGACCGGCTCCAGGACATAGTTACTTCTTCGAAGCCATAAAATACACAACTAAAAAGCATAGAAAACTGAACGAATCAATCAACTAACGACAATTAGATAAGGAAACATAATAAGAAGAATTTCGGTGATTAAATGACTACGGAAACGAAACGAGCGGCATCAAGCCAAGGACTCGAGTGTTGTGCGGTCCGGCCGCTCAATGACTACAAGCAAAACAGACTTGCTGTTGCAAAGGATAATGGTCAACAATGTAAGAAATTGTTTGACACGAGATTGATCTTCTAAACATTTTAGAATTATGTGTTAACATGGTGTAGGCTGAAGAGCCTGCGGTGATGTCATGTTATCTGGAGTTATTGGAGTAGATGGAGTTGCACTAAATATAGAAAATTAAAATGGCTTGCAAGCTTGAACGATTACCTTGAAAAAGCACATGTTTCATTCGTCGTGCTCACTTGGATGTGCTCGTAGTTAGCTTGGTTACTGAAGCTGGCGTAAGTACTGGCCAATAAGCCGTATGAAGAGAAAGAGGGCATAAAAGATCGATCCCAAAGTGAAGAAACTTTTTCACGGCATCTGATCAATTCACCCATTTCAACCTGAACATTATGATCATCAATCAAGCTTCTAAGAAAGCAAAGTACATACCTTGAAGGTTTTGATTATATGATGACTAGAGCGTAACCAATGGCGACGAGTGGCTTCTAATACCAGAGAAACTAAGGACAAAGCTACAACGGATGGTCGGAACTGAGACATAATTTGAGAGGAACAAAGAACAGCCTCTAAATGACATCTGAAAGCATGAAGTGTAAGTTAGGTTTAAGAACGAAAACACTTGTTACCTGATAGGTCCAATAAGATATTGAGCTCTCAATGGCGACATCATTGCATCCAAGAATCTTGAGAGAGTTGGAAGTTGCACATCCCATTGAAGTAAAGCTGAATACTCATCATTGAAAACCAAAGAAAAAGTAAGAAATACCCAAAATTCTGGTTTCCATCCTTTTCATCTCACTTGGACTATATTCAAGGCGTAATCGACGAAGAAAATTGGTAGTTGTTTCCTCATTGTCTTCGCACAATTTCTTGGATATATGGAGACACGCAGCAGCGACACAGTTGATATATCTATAAGAAATGGAATTAGATTCTTACTGGATAAGTTTCACTTACTTTGGAGGGACACGTGTAGAGCATACAACTCTATCAAGGAGGGCAATAGCAGCGGATATGCTGTCAGTGTCTAATCCGAGACGACGAGCAGCTCCGCATATCCAGAACGCTTCTCGGTCTCGGTCAGCCCATCCAATGACTCCTTCTCCCTGAAAAAATAACAGATTTGAGAAGAACAATAATTTAAAGAATGAAGGATTGGGATATTTTTCTTCAGTTCATTACGTTGGTCTAGCTTGGGATACGTTTGTTTAAACTACAAACGGATTTATCTAGCGGGCTATCAAGCGTTCTCTTCGATCCCAGAAATCACAACACAAAGCTTTTTTTGTACAGGATGAAAACAAAAACGCATGAATACATTATGTTGACCTTATAAATCACTCCGAATAACTTAGAAAGAAGAGCTTGACCCATCAACCTACTTCAACAAGTTTTTTCTTGATATGGCAAAGACCGCGATGGCCGTTTCAATGTCAGCTGACTCCAGATAAGACCAAAGTCAAGCTAAGGAAAAGTAAAAGGAAATTGATTTTCAAGAGAAACCGCTAAGGCCATTTACAACCCTTCCCGCATACCTCTCTACCCATCTTCCTTTCTCTCAATTCACAATTCATAAAAATTCTTACCTGTGCTAATCTTGCCGGCCAATGACTGAGTGATTGTTCTCTTTGAAGCAGAAGCTCAGCGAATTGAATGTTGTCTGAAGAGCCATTCTGCATCTGATCACTACCGGCGAAATCGCACGAAGAGACGTGCCCTGGAAAAAACATCAAATTAATAAATTTTTACACAAAACAAATATAAAAAGCGATTCTCTAATCTGATGACGACAATCACAAAAATTCTGTAAAATCTCAAAATATTGTCGAGGTTGAGAAACAAGCGAGTGCCAAGAGATTTACAGTTGATGACGCAATTGCGAACTTATCAAAGAACGTGCACGGATACCAAAATTAGGCATGAATTTAAACCAAAACTAACGTACCGAATTCATAGGGAGACATAGGGGGCTTGGACGACCAAAAGGGAGACTGAACGGCTGCAGATGACGTTGAGGGGGGGGCTGCACCCGCTATTATTGCACCATTTGGGACAGTGGTGGTAGCAGGTGGACGAGGGTCAATGGATGGCCTTTTACAGAGAGGCACATAATCCTCGGAACTGTAAATATGGCAGGTGCTCATGTTGAGAATGATGTTGTTGCTTCGAAAGATCGTAGAGAACGAACAAGCGAGCAAGACGATTGTGAATGACTGTCATGGAGCTCACGCCTTTAGCGAGCGTCGCTTTCGAAATTTTAGCGAAAACGGTGCGATTACGTCGCCTGTCGCAATATACGAAAAGGTACGCTAAGGATCGGGAATGTTCAAGAACGTCATATAACGCAATAATTTGGCGTTTATTCGAAAAGAAGGAAAATTCTGCGAAAAAAAAACCAATCAGAACGTCAGCGGCTTTGCGATTGGAACAGCTGGCATACCAAGGAAGTGAAAATAGAAAGAGCCAAAAAACGATAAGACACACACATTAAAAACTTTCGATTTTAATGATAATCTGGATTCATAACCAATTGATGAGAAGTCAATTTTCAGTGTGAAGAGTGAAATAGGCGGGCTTATAGCTATAGAGCCCATAGAAGGAGTATCGATTTATGCGGTTACGAGAGTAGAATAGCGAACGGGTAGACAGAGTCTAGAGAAAACGATATGGACAATGGGAAACGTATGAAAAGAAGGAAGAACCGTTCGATAAATTTGGTCAAAGATCTGTTCGACTTTTAGTTTGATATTATGCAAAATATCATTCGCTATTTAAAGAATTGTCGTCATCTGAGCGTATAATTACAAGAAAAAAATTGAGGCAGAAAGTGCATTTTGCCAGGTCACACGCACGTATCCGAAAACGAACACTATCGATTTTGAGGGAAAAGTGGAGAAAGAGATGTGGAGCTCTCAATCCTCTGTTAGTGATGTAAATAAACAAACAATGTAGCGGCCAACTGACCTGAACGGACTGGCAAAAGAACAATGGTAATGTCTGATTGTGAAGTGAAAATCCGAAGAAAACCTAGAAGGTAATAACCTTCGTGAGGGTTCACGAAAGAAGATACAAAAAAGGAGGGAGAAGAGACGCACAACGGCGATAATCTATATGCACAATCGTATTGGGGTCACACGTGACATCCAACGAGACAAGACGGTCAAAACAAATGGCATATTAATAGGGGAAATACAGAAGAAACGTCCTCTACACGCTCAGCTAGAGAAAGACAGAAAAAATGTTAGAAAAAGAAAATTTGAGCAAATTGTAAAGTAAATTGAGGTTAAAGATGTCAATTCGATATAAATACGGCTCATTCCGTCAATCAAAGATCGATTGAAGTACAACAACTTCAGAATTTATACTATTTGATATGAAAAACAAAAAAATCAACAATCCTATACAATGTCTTCTAATTTTAAAACTCTGTGTTGCTTCTCAGTTTTCTCTTGTCTTGTAATCTTCGCTTTTCCGCCAATCTTTGCTGAGCAGCCTTCTCAGCTTTCTGGAAAAGAGTTGATAATCAGGATCATTTTATGTAATCAGCTCACTTTTCGTAAGATAAGAACATCTTCTTCAGTTGTCGTTCGAGCACTCAAATCTCGCTGGACTTCATATATGGTAAAGCGAAGCTTGTCGAAGCAATCAGCCAGGTTTAGGGAACGTTCAGCAGTTCTGTCGCTATTAATGATCACCTAAAGCGATCGAACATAAAGCATCGTCTTTTTTTCGCCGAATCTAGACGAACTTCTCCATTTGTGTTAATTCTGTTATGAAGGCGATCAGACAGGGGTTCTTTAAGCTGCTCTGGAATCCACTCAGCGCTTTTCAAGTTGAAACGTATTTCTGCCTGAAGAAAAAGGAGAAAGAAACGGGTTCAAGCCACTCGAACAACTTACTTTCGTTGCATTTTTTTGAACATTCTGGCCACCTGGGCCTCTGCTCAAAGAAAATCTCTTCTCAATTGCTTCAGTGGGAATGATACCAGTAAATGTTGATGTTGAGCAAATTAAATTCTGCAAAGTGTTGTCAACAGCTTTTTAGTTTTTACTTACTCTCCATCCCAATGAAACGATGTTCAATGAACTGCAACTGGGTCGAAATAATAAAGCCATTTTGCGCCTGAAAAAATTAGAAACTTGGAAGGAAAATCTTTTGTAGTAATTAAAAACTTCATTATTTCAAGCTTACGACATCGTTTACGATTTTATCAGATGGATATAGTTCACAAAACAAGAAATGAAAGAGCTAATTTTGATTTGAAACGCAAAATGTTATACGCAACTTGGCGTATCTAGGTGAAGTACTAATGCACGTAACTTCACGTACAAATTCTGCGTGATTTTTACCATTTGAACTCATCGTTCTGTTTTCAACAAGGAACTTCCTCGCTCCCAGAAGAACTCTCGACTTCACACTTAAAGCAAAAACAATGAGACGCAAGTCATAACACATTCTAACTATTTTAGTTCATAGTTACAGAACTTCAATATTCTCACAGTCGTCTGAGAATGTTGTATTTTCGACTTCCTGCTTCGACTATCTGAAGTTTAATTGGCTACATACGCAAGAAGTTGATTACCTTTGAGTTGATAATTGAATAACAATCGAACATGAAAATTCAGCAAATGTTCATACATACACTGATAATCAAGAAACGCGAGTCCTTTTTGTATAATTAAGAAGGACGGCGAGTCTTCTCACGTTTTCCGTATACAAGGATGTCGTCAAGAAAAACTCAAAGTCCGTCTAAACAGTTAAATGATGTTAACTGCCGTAATTTACTTAGAAGTATGCAAGGTTAAGCAATAAGTTTATAATTCTAAATATCTTCGAAAGCATACTTAACATGCTTTATACAATAATCTTCACAATGGATCTTTGTACGGAAATTATTAGGGGACGAGGGTCTATCAGGATGCCATTTGAAGAGAACACATTGCTTCCCATCGAATCCCCAACGATCTATTGTCCCTTCATCATTATCGAAAATGGCGTGAGAACATGTTGTATCTGTGAAAAAAAAGTTGTTGATTTTTCCAGTTTCCTTCTATAATACCTGGATCTGGACAACAGATTCCATCCAATGAACCGAATGTCGATAGACCTTGTATACATTCATAACCTGCTGGACATGAGTTTTCAACTCTGGTCGAGCATTGAACAGGCGCAGATTCGTTTCTTAAAATGACCTGGTACCCAGCGCCCTCTGGGAGAGGACATGTCAGTGGAGGTCCGGATTCTCCCGTTGCTGATAATACGAAGATCATTGCCGTTAATACAATTGGCTAACCAGCATCTTTCACCGATAAACAGACCCATTCCCTCGATGGACTTTTCTTCCTGACTGTGTCAATGGGGCAACGACAACGCCCTCGAGTACAGGTAGCCTGGGGCCAATGACGTGAGCATTCGTCATCCGAACCACATTTCTACAAATTGAACACATATTCTCCGATCAGGAAAAGGGTAGAAGCTCACCTGTGATGCTATAAAAGGGATAATGAGAACAAGTAAAATATACACGGATATTGGTTTGATCATCGCATCCATTGCATTTTTTTGAAGGTGAAGTACTGAAGCCTTGGATTTTCAATAGTAGAGAAGGTAGATAATTGTATCGAATTCCCTTGCCGTATTTTGATTGCCAAAATAGGATTCTCTGAAATCAAATGCATGAACGAACAGACATTGTACGTGAGTGTATCGAAGATGCTGGTCATCCGAAGGAAAAGAAGCAACTGGTTTTCTTTTCAGCTTTCATCGTCGTAGGACCAACACGACTTCAATGACACATTCACCTAGCAGCTTATAAGACTTCATAGAAAAAAAAATGTTTATACAACAAAAATATAAAAAAAGAAACATGTGTGAGGTAAATTATAATAGAACTATACAACAATCACAACGAGGTCCTTGAGTTAATAAGAGGCATTAATAGACTTAATTACAACTTTATGATAACTTTAAGTGATAGAACTCTCTGAATATAATCTAAATTTTTACAGATGAAAGAAACACTTTGATGGATGGAACAGTGTGAGGTGAAAAATTTCAAAATTGAAAACCCATTTGTAGGAATAGCTTATATAAATATATACGCATATATCTATATATAGAGAAGTTAGATGTTTACTGAAAAGACACTATTATGATGATATAAATTGAGATAATACAATAATGGCTCGACCTAAGTAAACGAACGAACTCCGAGTGTATGACACCAACGAAAAATTGATTCAATGAAGGCAAATGAGCTCTTTACATTTCAACAATCCTGTGGATACCTCTCCACTTTTTTCAATATCATTCTTTATACCTATATATAGAGCGTTAAGTGGTTGTTTCAGTTTTCATTCCAAACAAAAGTTGCTTTGCAAAGGGTGTGAAGCGAATTTGGTCAAAAAAATCAGCCACGAGCACTGCTTCTTTCATTTCTACAGCCATCGTAGCAAGCACAGTCCCTAATAGTAGTAATCGACCGAACCTATAAGCAGTCACTGTTCCTTCATTCATCATTCAGAGCTCTTCGGCGGAGCAGAAGTTACACGAACCTATCCCCAGCTTCTTCAGCTCCTTTATTTTTAACCATATATCTATATAAAGCATTCGTGATCGAACTACGTCCATCACTCAAAGCTGCCTTTGAGGCTGAGTCGACTTCATCTGCATCTGAACAAAACTGATTAGAGGATTCAACATTCTAAATGGCAAACCTGGATTCAAGAAGAAAATGGCCTTAAAGGCCGCAAATTCAGTTGAGTCAATTTGCATTTGTCTCATAGGTTTCAGGAGCTGATCAAGCATTTGATATTTCTTTTTATTAAATCCAACTGGCCTGAAAACACGATGATCTTTTAAGTCATATTTTCCATTCGATTGATCTCTGCGCGAACAGTTCGAAATTTGCATATTGTGATGTTTCATTTTACGTGAAAGTCACGGAAGCCTTGTCATGTATGAACTTCAACTTTTTGATTTTTCAGCGGCGCTTATCGGTTGAATATGCAAGAAATAGATAAGTTACCTTGTTGGTTCGGGCGTACGATCGAAGAAAGCTCCATTAGGGAAAACAATAGTATCTAAGCCGTGGTCAGGTGAGAAAAACGTGTGAACAAGTGAAGGGTATGTGATAGCAGAATGCCGTAGTAAAGCTAACTGAAAGAAGTAACGTGAGAACAAAGACAAAGATATTATAACAAACTTTATCCGGAAAAGGTAGGTTCTGATAAACTGGAATTGTTTTTGCCCATTCAATCATCACCATCCAATCTCTGGAAAAATATTATTCAAACATTTTTAAGAGTATCAACGTACCTTTCATGCCAATAATGATAATCGGCTTGGCTTGCATACATTACCGGTCTTTGTATCCTATGACCTGGCGCCTAAAATGAACTCTCAAGAATAATTAACGATAATGAGAACTCAATTCTTTTTAAAAGCTCAACAACATACAGACTCTGCATAGCAACTCATGAAATCGCTGTCCGTCAGTAGGCATGGAGAACACACCGCATCAGTTAAATGCCTGTTCGAACTGTAGGTGGATAATCGTAGCTTCGAGCAATATTCTTCGACCGTTGTGAGATAAGCCAGAAACCGATCTTCAGCTTCCTCTGCTGGATTTGACTATGAGAGGATTAGTTGAACTTTGGTGAACCACTTGAACGTACCTGTTGTGATTTGGGAGAGCTTTCATCGGAACTTTCAGCCTTCTTAATAGGAGGATAACGACGTGTTCTCTTAGTGTAACCTATAGGATCTCGATTTTGTTGAATTGCTGAAAGCGAAAGAATTAAAATGATGAAAGTTGAGCCAAGAAACCATTTCTATCCATTCCAACTGATAAACATTTTTCAAATCTACAATGACGACAAGCGCATCGAATACCTAAACGGGATGAAATAAAAAATTCATGCGAATAAGAGAAAATACTTTTATCCACAGGACATTTTCCATTGTACTGACATTGAAATGTTTGATTCTTCATAATAGTTCGCCGAAAAAAAGTTTTACTGAAAAGGAAGATGTTATGATCATGAAAAGGTAGGATTGACTTGCCATCCATTGCAGGAAGGGACTCCGTAATGATATCCAGTGGAAACGTCTTGACAAACCAAGCAAACTTCCTCGGGCTGAGAAGTTGCACAATTCACATTATTTTTGGATGAAGAAGCAACAATGGTTTGTCCCGGAACGACTGAACCGTTTGTGCTGAGAGTGTCAACCCCTGGTTTCATAGCAGCAGTCATATATACTAGCTTAAAAAAAGTTTAAAGCTTTGTAAAGAACAGAAAATTCGAAGTGAAAGTTTGTAAACCATATGTCATAGCTAATCGAAGAGGAAGGCAACACGAACAACTGATAAGGGAAGCATGGCGTACTAGCAAACGGCAGGAAATAATGATCATGGAATCACAAAAACTTAATAAGATTGAGGATACAACGCAAAAAAACAAAGATTATAAAGTGCCGCAGAGTTGCGAGAATACTACGGCCGAAATCACTGGGGACACAACGAACTATGGTGAACTAAATAACCGAACATGTTTAAAGCTACGAGCAAAAAAGCAGAAAATTCTTAGAGTAAACTTCAGAAAACAAGAATATAGCTGACCATAAATGTTTTTAAATAAGTGGATGATTGATCATTAAAAGAACAACAAACGCGTTACTTAGTCTAAAATAAAATTATAGCCGAGGTCTATATGGACTTTATGATGATCACGGAAATGCTCGTAATTCATCAGAACCTCACACAAAACTTGATTACAGGGTGCAGAATAGACAAAAGCTGGTCCAAGATTGAATATGACGAGCTTTTGCATCGTGTGCAAAGCAAATAAAGCTTTCATTAAGTAATAAGCCATACGATTTCTAACTCGTTTCGCAGTTTGAACCTGATGAACATATTCAACAAAATAAAATTCACATAAAGAGAGTACTTTAGCATTTGAAAAAATTTAAATTAAATAAAAAAAGTTCGTGAAAGTGTTGGGAAAAGTAGACGTAGTGAAGTACAAGTAAATACACGAGGAATGCAACCGCTCATGACGAGAGTGAAAATAAAAATGAAAGGGAAGTATGGCGGGGGGAAATTTGAATATGCTCGAAAAAACAGTTAATGAGAAAGAGAAGATTATGGAGCAATAAATATAGAATTGTACTATAATTTCGTTCATTCTGACGGATTGAAAGAGCATTTCGTACGCATATTGTCAGAAGATCGAACTTGAAGGAGCAAAAAGCAGACGTATATCATGGCATATTTTTAAAATTATGTGGAAACTGCTCATTGAAGCTGCGTATAATGAGCAGAATCGAAAATCGAGTGATGAGAAGGAGAAAAATACAAAAAAGAATGAGAGAAAGGCACCTAGTTGACAAAGATTAGACTGATTGAAACACATGAACTCTACGTCTCTAGCATGTGTTTCTATCTCTGTTCCATCTGTTTTCTATTCCAAACAAGACTGTACTTCACCTTTACACCATTTCTCTTTCTCTCCATGGTTGTTCCGTTACTTCCGACTTCAATTGCTTTTTTGGGAAATTTCTCTAAAAATATACTCCGACCCACACACCTTTATATAAAACATTTAATATCATTGACTAGCATAGTGTTGTCTATGCTATGAGGAAAAGAAAATAAAAACAATCGATAGCACGTGAAAATATAAGAAAAAAACAAACGGTTTGACAAGCCTGATGTCTCAAAGTGAAAAGAGAGATGAAGTAAATATAGAATAAACGGATTTTCATGGGCATCGGCGCAACAGCAAGTGAGAAACAGATAGCAATAGACTGCTGAAAGCAGGATGGAAGCAAGCAAAAGTCTTCTTATAAACATTGTTCGGAAAATCCTTGGAGCTCATAAATGGCTATAATTCTTTGAAAATATAGGCCGTTTGCTAATTAGAAATCTGAGACTAAACAAGAGGAAATATGCTAATTTTTCTTGAAACTATGATGAACTGAAAGGAAGCAGACAACCGAGTGGCAAAGAACCTCGTATCGAACGTTGAGCCAACAACAACGAATCAGTGATCAAAGCTCAGAAACCAAGCTTGGAACAGAGGAAAATGACCATGATTAGGGATGAATATGGCTAACCACATAACACATGTGGATATAAGACTAACCTTGAAATGATTAGATAAGGAAATAGACGAGAGGAACAAAAGAAGAGATAAAGGGAAACGAACAGATAGCAAGAGAGAAAGAGACAGAGATGGAAGGAAAAATAAAGCAATCATTCAGTCTTCTGATTACTTTTAAAGAGGATTTGATATACCTAAGCTTTCCTTTACAGCCATGGAGAGAGTCGTAACTATGTTATTTCAAGATTTATATAGGAGTGTGAGGATAGTGAAAACAAATCCAAAGGGCTAGCACCAAATGGCATTTTCAATCTTCAAAAAGACACTTAAAAAGTTTTTGAACTATTTGCAACTCAAATACTACGGATATTTCTCATTAAATCATAATTGCCTCGGAATAAATAATTAGAAAATAAAAAAAACTTAATGGGGTGAAAATGGAATGGAAAGCTAAAAGAGATCTTTGATTAAATGGACGACGTTCCTTGGCTTCCCCATCAAACCTCTATCATTCATAGACTTCGCCATTTATTACACTGATTATCATGACGTCATGAATTATAAAAATTTCAGAAGTTAACCAAGGAAAGACATGCACATAGACACATGGTTGAGGAGAAAACATTTCAAAACCAAAAATGAGATGAAAATACCGGAAGGATTATGAAGGAGCCAGTTTGTTCTTTGTAACAGAGCTTTAATAAAAAATTTATATTTATGTAGATAGAGAGGATGACAGCAAAATCGACCAAATAGATGATATTGAAGTATTGTTTCACTTACTATTGGAAAAAAAAGAGAAACTGAGATAAAACTTGAAAAATTAAAAATGAACAGATAAGAGAGTAGGAAGAAGAGTAGAGGGATCAAAAAAATTTTACAGGAGAGGGAGCGAAACAGAGATATACTAAAACAAAGATAGAGGGAGAGAGAGGGAGTGAAAAAGGGAATAAGATAAAGAGAAGAGAAAAAGTAAAAGGAGACAGAGAGAGAGAGAGAGAGAGAGAGGGAGAGAGAGAGAGAGAGATAGAGAGAGATAGTGAAATGCAACCGTTCATTACGTACCAAAATTGGAAAATGAAATTCGATCCTCACGTACGCGGTTCGTCAAATATACAAATGAGGATATAAATAGATTATCCGTTACAAGAACAATTTGAAAAAAGTAGTCGAAAAGTAGTTATAGATTGAAGCGATGATCGAGAGTTTTTTGAAGCTATACTTTGCATTTTTTCCTCGCCGTAAATTCGTTTAGAGGATGGAGAGAATGATAAAAAACGTTCTTAACAAATATAAATATTGTTTCGACCATAATCGAAAGAAAGAAGAAATAATAGAAAATATGTTACAAGGAAACTTTAGGCGCAACTTCATACTATTTTCAGGTTCAAGGCGGTCGTATCGAATCTGGCAGACTACGTGGGATACGTTATGTCCACGCGTCACGTGGCAGAAGATTGTCTGAACTTGTTCTGTGAGGTAAGTAAAATTATAACGCTCTGTAGTGAAGTAGCTTCATAATATATTAATTCAGAAGTCCATTAACAGAGCTAAGGGCCATACGCCCAAATCAATCCTCACGCTCGCGAAGTTCTTTATGAAACTCGGTGATTACAGAGTTGCCAGTGAAGTGCTATGGGGTTGCGCTTCACTCACAATTCAAATGGCCATTGGAAACAGTTTCTACTGTTTCGAAACGTAAGTATAAAACTTATAGTTAATTTCTTTGAGTATGATTTGTTTTAGATGCCATTCTGCTTACTACACAGACGGAAATAACGCGTCGGATGTCAATGTGGCGTTGGTGAAAGCGCAAGACTTCATCAAACAGCTGAAGGTTTATCAACTGACTGATGAAAAGAGAATAGAACTGGAGTCCACTAACTTTGACTACTAGTATCTGGCTCTCGTTTTAATAAAAATATTATATTGAAGTATTGTTTCACTTACTATTGCGAAAAAAAGAGAAACTGAGATAAAACTTGTAAAATTAGAAATGAACCGATAAGAGAGTAGGAAGAAGAGTAGAGGGATCAAAAAAATTAAAAAGGAAATAACTTATATCAACTATATTTTGAATTGATATCTACTTAAATGACTATCACACAGTTGCTAGATCTCTTTCGCTCAAGTCCAACAGTTATTTCTAACAATAGAAACTTACGTATCGCTTCCAAAGATTGATCCTGAGTCCTTATATAGCGTTAATATAGATTAAGTCTTTGAATATAGATCAACTAACCGCTCGAGAACGTAATAATGTGCAAGAGTGATCAAGTTTTGATAACTCATACAACTTTCTTCCGGAGGTTAACATTGCGAAATCTGTGTTCCACAGAGAGAGAGAGAGAGAGAGAGAGAGAGAGATCTAGTCAAATGCAACCGTTCACTACGTACCGAAATTGGAAAATGAAATTCAATCCTCACGTACACGGCAGTTCGTCAAATATGCATATGAGGATATAAATAGATTATCCGTTAGCAGAACGATTTGAAAAAATAGTCAAAAGGTAGTTATAGATTAAAGACAAAGATCAATTCCATTTAATTACGAAAAGAAGAAGAGAAGATAAAAAAAAGAAATGTTGAAGCCCCTTTATTAATCAAGAAGTTGTAATAAGATGTTAGAAGAACAAGTGTTAGTTTAGATGCACATATGATAAATCATATGAATCAAGTTCATTATGTTTTTGATGTTTTTGTAAGTTGTAATTTAAAAGAAAATGACCTTTCACAATATGTTTTTCATTCGAATTGAAAATCAGAAAATGAAAAAGTAAAGTGAAAAAGAGAAAAAAATTAAAAATTTCATTTGATTTATGCTAACTTCTGCAGTGTAAATAGGTATTGGTAATTGGAGAAGTTGCAATACACAAGTGAGAACCTGCAGCTTAAAAATAAATGAAAAAAGATATATTTGTTTCAGAGTAAATGATATATATTCTTGCATATAAAGATGTGTGTGCTCGAGGATTTCGCTTCTATCTTTCAAGACGGAAAGAACAGACAAAAAATAATTTTTTTCTACTTTCTCGTATCTTTTTTTGCCGTTTCTCTTCCTATTTGGCTTTTGCGCTCACGTTCAAGTGGGAATGGTGAGGCCACGTGAGTTAACCTTCAGGCGATTTGCAAGCAAATCGCAATTTCACATTGTTTTTTGTTGTTTTTTTTTGTTTCAAAAATTCTTTCGATAATGACCGGGAAGAATGAAAAAAAAGCTGTTGGTCTATTCATGATAACGATGATTTCTGATGTCATCATGCAATCATTTATCATATACGTATTCTTACTGGTTATTTCATTAAGTTTTGATAACACAAACACCTGGCGGTAACGGATTGTCGGAAAAGAAAAATTCTGTGTTTTTTAAGATTTAAAAGCTTAATCTTATGGAACATATCACTCTCTCTCTCTTACATTCATCCTTTCTCGTTCTCTCTATGACTCTCTCTTTCCGTTCCTTTTTCTCTTTTAAGCTTCTGGTCGGTCTATTTTCTCTTATAGATGGTATCCTCTAGGCTTTTCTCAATCTAATCCTCTCTCCCACACAAACATTCACAATTTATTCTTTCCCTTTCTATTTCTCATCAAATTCTCAGCTTTAACAGAGTTCTTTCTGTCAGTTCATAAAGAAAAAGTGAGATGAAGAGAGTGAAGAGAAGTTGAGCAAAAGAATGAATGAGATAGAAGAATTGAAAGCGGAGCAGGTGTTCCAAAGAATGTTAAGAAGAGGAAAGAATGAGATCACTTGGGGGAGGAGAGAAGACAGTTTCCGTGTATCAGATAACATCCAGACGATGTCGACGTCGTCAAAACGTCTTCCTTATCTTCAACGACTTTCAATTGTTTAAATGCCACCCAGAAGCTCAATGAATCAGAGCACATGGGAACTTCTTTGCAAAACTAAGTAGCTGTGCATGTCTCTATAATCTTCTCAATATTCATATTAACATGCAGATTGTTGAGTATCTCACGTTCCGAACTCCCTATATGGATATGAATTATTACAAGTGTGGTCTCATCATCGTTAAGCATCAGAAGTCATCGTAACAGTTGACATAACATTTGTCAGATCATGTCCTTCGAAATGTTTTTCCGACAACTTGCTCTCAACTGTTATTCGTGTTTTCTTCCGAATTTACTAATATAATATTATATAATTTCATTCGATTGATTCTTGGTTGTGATTGGTACTTGTGACAAGTTCGAAACAATCTTGTTCTCATCACATACCGTAATCTCTTTCAATATTTCATTGTTCATCGCTGCTTTCACAGAAGCTCAGTTAATTCTGCGAACAATTTTCGATGAATAAACGACTTCATCTGTCGTTTTACTAGAGTAGAGAGTAACCCAAAAGAAGTACAGATAGTCATGAGAAATCAGGGAGGAAAAAAAGATTAAAAAAGTGGGCGGAGTTTAAGGTGACTGCTTCTCAATGCTTCATCTTCTTGTTCATCTTCTTCTCCAAAGCTCATCGGCATCTCAGTCATCATTTAAGCTCCGCCCATACTGAGTTTCTTTCATTTCCATTTTATTGATTAGTTCAAAATCATTGAATAAAATGAATATCTTTGAATAAAAACTGAGAGAGAGGAAGTAGAAGCGATTGAAAGAGAGATAGAGAGAGGGAGAGATAGAGGGAGAGAGAGAGAGAAAGAGTGTGTCCTGTGTGAGTATGTGTATGTAAGACAAATGAATTTCTGAGATCAGCAGATGTATCAGGAAAGGCAATTAGCTTTCTACCGTGTCAATGAGATGTTTTTGTTTTATTTTTTTCTGTCTTCAGCCTGCATTTCCTGTAATCCATATGAAGCTTCATTAAAACAGTGCTTAATCCTTCTTTATTTTAATTTTTCTTCTTTAGATGTTTTATTTCCATTTTGCTCTCTTATCCCCACATATGCTCTTACTCAAAGCTCTGCTTTATCCTACCCACTCAAACTCTCTCTCTCTCTCTCTCTACCTCTCTCTCTCTCTCCTTCATAGATTTACATGATTCACTTTGCAGAAGAAAAAAAAGAAAGAAAATGAAATCAATATATAACTGGATAATCATTGTTTTTATGCAATTTTGTCATATATCATATATATATCCAATAGAATCATCACAATGGACGCCTGGACAATATCCTGACTTACGGTGAGCAATTGCATTGACACAAACGTATTACGAAATGCTTTTTGTGCTGCAGAGGTCCTTCCGTCAATCAGTGTATTAGCCAATTACCTCATAATAAGCAACACTTATATTTATGTGATCCTGATCGAATACTCAATAATAGCCAAGGTTCGAATCTAATCTCTAAACCTCACAAAAAGAAAATTTTTTTTTTTTAATTATCAATCGTATCTACTTCATTCTTTCCATTGCATCTTCCATCATCTTCATTTTGATATGCAAAAATGTTTTTTTTTTTTGAGCTTTTTCTCTCTCTAGTTCCTTAGTGGCTTTTGTTCTCAACTAGTTATATGGGACTTAAGTGCACTATTTATGGGAAATTTGGATTGAAGTAAAGCCCATATTTAAGCCAAAAAAGGAGAGAGAAAAGTAACAAGAAAAGATTTCTTTAACAGCGATAGAGAGGGAGAGAGATAGAGTCAGAGAAAGTTTTATAAAGAGAGAGAGAGAGTGGAAGAGTTATAGAGAGAAATGAGCAGAGAGAGAGAGAGAGAGAGATAGAAGCTCCTTCGAATTGTTGGCTTTGGCGGCAAATTCATTGGTGCAGAACGGCAGAAATCAGTCATGTTTAAAGAGATTAAAAGACAATATCCATATATGGAAGAAGAAGCTTAAATACTTAAACTTGTCAAGTTTTTATTTTCGGTCACATAAATTATGCTATATTTAAGCTCAAACCATTAATCGTTTATTATATGATTTGGCTGTTGGAACGCCATGTCATTGTCAACGACGATCACAATGTACAACAGGAATAGCTGGTTCGAGTTATCATCAGATGTAACAGATATGCTAATTATGTGATTTTGAAGGAACATCATCAGAAGGTTTCCATGGATTTGTTGTTTCTGTTGCTATTGTTAAGAATTTGCAAATGCAAATGCATTCTCCAAGTGAAGCGTACGTACTCGAAGCTTAAACTAAGCTTCATTGCTTAACAAAACAAAAATTATATAAATTTCAGTCAGTTAACTGAACGAGCAGAAGCATTTTGCAAAGCATTAGAAGGGCGATGGGCGTTAGGTGATTGCGGTAATTCAGTCATCATATTCGTCTGGGAGCATTATAAGAAAGTAACTATACCTATATATCATATAGTTAACTTCTATATTCATATCTTATAGATGATCATATGGCCAGCACGATTAGCTGAACGATATATAACATCAGATGAGCGTCGTCGTATTCTGACGGACGTCAATGAATTCGCTCAAACAGATCAATGGTCTAAAGCATTAACTCAAGTCATTTGTATGTTTATAATTATATAATTATTAATAATTATTTATTATTATAGCTGAGTTGAGGAAAGAGCTTAACGGCGAGCCAATGGATCGTGTTGACACGGGAACCTTATCATTGGTGGTAGCTGTTGGAGTAGCTGTCTTACTCACATGCCTAATAACATGTAAGCCTTATTATTCGTTTCTTTCTTTAGCTTCTTCTTCCTCTTCATCTTCTTCATCTTCATCTTCATCTTCTTCTTTTCTTTTTTTTTTTTAAACTAAAAATTTTATGATGTTAAGCAGTAAAGTCGTACAAAAGGCAATTAGCATTGAGGGACAATGTTTTTTGTGTGAATGAGAGAAGCAATTCTTCATTTTTAAAAATATATTTCAAATACTTCCTTCACCTCTGTTAATGGGGCTCTTCAATAGTTTCTTCTCTCTTGGTTTCTTTCTCCCTCTCTCCCTCTCACTCTCTGTGTGTGGCTTGAAAACAAAAAAAAAGTTTAAAAAACTTCAAATATACTGACTCGTCCCATGCATTTTTCACTAATCAGTTCATTTTCTCTGAGAAAAATGAATATGAACAACCGCTCTGTGAGTATGTAACTGAGTTGAATAAGGCAGACGACAGTTTCACGTCGTTTACGTGAGTACCAATACTCACGTATGCAAATTACATTCTCTTTCACTTCCTTTTGTTACTATCCGTTTATTTTTTGTTTCAAACATTCATCTCTCTCTCTCTCTCTCTCTCTTTCTCTCTCTCTGTTAGTGTGTGTGTATGTGAATGTGTATGTGTGTGTCGTATTAATTGGCTCTCAGCACCTTTTATCTTTTTTTTTTTCCAAGCAAAATTGAATCAATTGATGATCGAGAAAAGAGCAGCCGTGTTAATGATTGAAATGCTGAATTGATAAGTGAGGGTGGAAAAATGGAGAGAAAGGAAAAGCTTAGGCTGAGAACATAGAGCATCATTCATTAACGTGGATTCACGTGACATCTAACTGATTAAAGCTCTTCCAAGAAATTTTGTAAAGTTTTACACAAAAAAAAAGTTTCAACACACGCATACACACACACACATACCGAGAGAGACATCCACACACACTTTCGAATTGCGATGTGCAGAAGAGGTGAACTTTCAATCGAACAACTGTCTGTAGAAATGAAAATTCATATTCATTGTCACACATCAGCTTCATCATAAGGCTTTCTCTTGTCAATTTGAAGCTTCAAACATTGATGAGTTGGAAGACAGGACGTTTAAAGATGAAACTGCAGCAAAAAAGAAAAAAAAATTTTTGTTTGCAAGAAATGACTTGTTTAACATTTAGTTTCGGGATTGTTGATAGAATCATAGTTACATTGATCAGTTTAGGTTGTGTATGTGCATTCCGTTGTTGTGGCAATCTACGTGGAGACGATTGGCCAAGAGGAGTTCAACGAGCTGTTGAGCGTGTTGATAGTCTACGTGCTTCAGTCATACGACGTGGATCATCATTACAAAGGTAATCATAGTTAATCCATGTTTAATCATCTCATTGATATCAAAACTCTCAAAACATTTTAAAGTTTTTAGGTCAATCAGCCGTTCACCAAAGTTTGGAAACAATCCAAATCGTTTTTATTCTCCTGACACAACAATGGTCTGAAGAGGAGAGAAATGTTATTGAAAAACATTTTTTTTTCGGGTAAAAAAAAAGAAATGGCATTTTGTGAACATTCTATTTTCAATACTTTCCTTCCTTCCTTCCCTTTTCTTTTCTCCTCTTCCCTCCTCCTCCTCCTCTCTCTCTCTTACTGCCTCCCTCTCCATATCTGTGTGTGTGTTACTTCTATTCTCTTACTCCCTCTAAGAACTATGAAGAGAGAATAGACGAAGATGAACAACGTTGATGAAGACGACGATGAAGATGAAGAAGTAGAAGTAGAAGAAGATGTTGAAGTAGAAGAACTAGAAGAAGATGAAAAAGAAGAAGAAAAAGAAGCAAAATTTGCATATTTGAAATAAGAATTTCCTCATTTAGCAGGGTTTCCCATTCATTATACATATATATCTTCTGTTGTACATTTGAAACCGTTTAAATCATTCAGAATATTCATTGACTCAGGAATTCTGCGACCCCAACCACCATCACCACCACCACCTCCACGACCCATCATCATCATCATCATCAGCACCGTCATCGCACACTATTCTTTTTAATCTTTGTAATTTTAAAATAATAAAATATATATATTATATATATATAAAAGAAGAAGAAGAAGAAGAAGAGAGAACTGTCTTTGTAAATAACGTTCTGTGAATTTCTTTTTTCAGCCCACCCAATCATATCATTTTCACTTTTGTTTGTTTGTTCTTAGACATATAATTAATATCTTTCTGAGCCATATTTTTTAATAAATCATATGTATAGTTGTGATTGTGATTGAAGACGAACTAGAAGACGACAACGACGACGACGACAACGAACGAACGAAGAAGAAATCAGAAAGAAGTATTGCGTTGAGTACAATACAGAAGAATGTCCTTCTTATCACAAACATTCATGAATAATCATAACGAGAGTGTTAGAGAGAGAGCAAGAAAGAGAGATAGAGAGAGAGAGAACAAGAGAGAATTGAAAATGAAACGAGTCGATTGGCAGCCAGCCTTTCCAACACTTCTCTCCTTCCCCCCCTCTCTTCTCAATCAATAAGTTGGTTGCTATTCTCTCTAACTTCAGGCGCAACTCTCTTCATCAAGCTTATTCTCTCTTGAATGCTGTATGTCTGGACTCTCTGAATGAATATCAATGTTTTTTAGTTTCTTTTCTAGATTCTCTTTCATTTTTCGTTGCTTTTGCTTGCTTTCTATTGAATAGACGTCGCCAACCAACAAAACATGGTTGAGTCTCGTCATCAGCGTCTTCATCGTCTCTTTTTTTAACATTTATCGCCTTTTTCCTGATAAGTTTATGTAAATGAAGGATATGATGTATGTTGTTGAGACTGTTTGTCTTTGGATTTCAATAGAAAGCAATGTACAGCTCACCAGCTGATCAGATCATCATGAAGCTTTTGAGATTGTTGTCGCTCATTCCATAAATGACATTGCTTCTTCCTATTGTTGATGTTCAACTTGTTGACAAAATGATTATTTAATTAGCTTTATTGATTATCTTCAGAATTACAATGTTTGATCGTAGAAGTCGTCATGGTAATGGTAATAAGGTGAATATGCGCCTTCGTGTATTAGAAACTCTATTGGAATCCAGTGAAAGCTCAGGAGGATCAGCAATGGTACATAATTAGCTCTCATTGAACATTGAACTCATCCTGCATTTTTGATCATTAGGTTAATTCCTTGAAGCATGTTATACGAAGTAACAAGGTTGGCGTTGCTGATGATGCTGAAACATCATTGAATCGTATGCGAATGGTAATTTTCGTGTGAATATGTCATTCATCTTCAACACCTCTACGTTTGCAGATTTATCAAAAAGAAATTTCCAAGGAAATTCATCAGATTGTTGAGCGTCATGTACGAACAACATTCTCACCGGCAATTGAAAATTTGAAAAGGAACGGTCAAGTACGTTAGATTGCTTTATCTGTCTTACTGTATGACCCTCATTCAGATAGTTAATGATGATGTTATAAATGATTTCATATGTGGAATATTAGAAGCTGCTAAGAAACCATTCTTACGAGAAAAACCGCCAAAAATAGAAAAAGAAAATGAAAAAGAAGCTGAGTCACGTACATTGCCTGAACCATATCGAGGAATACCAGATAAGGTATGTTAAGGGTCATCTTCCTCTCTATTAACTACATGTTTATAGGTTGATTATTATAATCAACGTGGTGAAGAATCAGATGATTCGGAAATTAGTGTTTTGAGCCATTCTAGTGCTGCTAAGAGGAGACGATTAACGAAAAAGGTAATGCTCCATACATCACTAATCAAATTAACTTTGTTTTCGTTGTTTAGGAAGATGAACGATTGAATTCTGATTTGAGTCCTTTCACATTACACGAAATTAGCAAATGGAATCCTGATCGCTTCAATACAATGACTCAATTTGTGCCAGCTTCTAAGGTATGTTAACCATTCTCATCGTATGCACTGTCTGTACACAGCAACATCCAAAACACACAAAAATCGACCGCTCACTATAGCAATTACATTTGGAATGAATCCATGAAAACCACATCATGATCAGATCCATTTTCTTTTTTGTTTTTTTTTTGTTTTCGGTTGTGCTTTGCTTGTGATAGGGAGATATGAACAGGTTTCATGTATTCGTATGTTTTAGGTAATCTCCCTCACATTCCTGACTCCTAGCAAGTTCTTCTTACAGTATTCGCGTTTATTCCGAGTATGTTAAACGATTTCATTGAATTCAACTCTATTTCTGTTATAGTATTGTATGGATGAGCAAGATAAGATAACATTAGAAGAAGAAAGGAAGATGACACGGGAAACAGGCAAAAGCTACTTGCTATGTTTGGAAGATGTACGCGAAGTAGTTGGAAGATCGTAAGTTTTCTATATTATCCCATCCACCCCCTACCAAATTTCTTTCATATTTGAATTTGTAAATTCTCACAGAGAGAGAGAGAGAGGAAGAGAGATATAGAGATAGAGAGAGTAAACTGAGAAAGCTTTCGGTGCTCAATTACATCCAATTTTCGTACATTTTCTCTCCTTCATATTTCCGTTAAAAGTGAAAAAGAAAAACGAAATATACGTAAAATAGTTTAATGGTAACCTTCAATGTTTGAATATTCATAAAGCATTTGGATAGTGGTAAAGCTTATTATGTTTAAGATGTGAACTGGAGAAAATAGCCTTTAAGCTTAAAGAGCCATTACTTATGAAGGTAAGAAAATCATATATTGAATTGAAGCTTATGGAGAATTGTTTCAGATTCGACGATTCTCACAACCTATCTATGATAGGCTTCGTCCTACAGTTGAAATAATTCAACAGCAGCAGCAACAACAAGCTCAAAGTCAGATGATGAGTCCACCATCTATAGCCATAACGAATCATATGCTATCATCACCGCATACAGCTTCATCATCATCACATAATCAGTCATTGAATTCTGTAACATCTTCAGTTTCTCAACATCCAGGCATAGTTCCACAATTATCACCAGCAATGACGAACTCAAATATGCCAATGCATTCAACTTCCTATCAACAACTTCACCAACCATTCCAGATGAATGCATCGAGCGGATGGGGATTTGGTCAATGATTTTTTTCTCCAAGAAAGATGTTAGAAGAAAAAAATCGTTTTCTTTCTCTCTCACTCTCTACTTATGCCGTTTAAATATTATTATAAACTATATGTATAGTATAATATGCGCAATTGCTTTATATGAGCTCCGCCCAAGTTTTTTTTTGTTTTTTTTTCTCTGAGCTCTCTCTATTCATATATGATATGTTGGCATTCTCGTTAACCCTGTATGTGTGTGTGTGTGTTTCTGTGTGAGTGTCATAAGCTGATCTTCGTAGGCTTCCTTTTTCATTCAAACAAAAATGGTTTTAGAATATGAAATTATATAATTTATACATATAAGCAAATGTATATATATAGTTAACAGATAGTTATCATTCCTTGAACATATGAAGAATATAATCGAAATTACATATATACTATATATTGTCTCCCTCGTTATCACAGATGTTATAAACCTTTTAATATACTCATGTCGTCATCATCTTTTCATAGTAACAAGTTTATCAAAACGATTCCGTCTCTATTCATCAGAAGAGATTGAGACTCTCCCCTCTTTACATCAGAAGGAAAGAGAGCGATGGAGATGAGGTTTAGGAAAGTGTTGAGAACGATGAAAAAAAGATGATTTGCTCATTCATTTCCAACTGAAAAAATCTGTAAAGTTCAAATTCCGAATAATACCAACATTTTTCTCATTTACACTTCATTCAGGTGTAATGAGGCTTGAAACGAAGTTTTTTTTTCTTTTGATTTCATCTGTGCAACACCATACAGACACATACACACAGACAGACACATACATACACACGTACACAGATGACATCTCATGGATTCACTTTTATGATTTTGGTTTGATGATCAGAAAGTAATTTGACATATGACAGCTTATCTATATGATATAGTTAAAGAATTATATTGTAGTATATGAGATTTATTCCCATTAAGAGCATTCAAATGACTAGCTTTTATGGTTTTTGCTAGTTCAACGAGTGACATTATGGATTTTGTTACATTTGAATGCAACAAAGTTTTTTTTTCTTTTCTTTTTTTTTTGGTGTTTTTAAAAAAAGAGAGAAAATATAAACAAAACTTTTTTTTTGGCTTCTTTTCACTTCTATGTTTCATTTGAATTTATGGGTTGTTAACTATACGTATAGTTACGACGTTTTTGTTTGAAAGCAGTTTAGAACAAGAATACGAAAGAGTTTCTTGTGTGCCACAGATACCAGAGTTCAAGCTTCAACTACTTGAGTAACATTAAGTGATGTTGGTAGAAGAAAGAATTCAAAGCAATAGATGAAGTATCAGAATGTAGGAAAAGGCATGTAGATAGAAGGAGTAAGAGAGAGAGAAAGAAAGGTAATAAGCAGAGGGAATAGAAGAGTAGAAGAGAGAAGCACAAGGTATAGCTCACATCTGAATTTAGTCCGGAAAAATGATAAATAATGCTTGAAATTGAACATTTGTACTTAATGTGTCTTTCAATTCATTCAAACATGTTGGAAGACAAGTAAAATGCTCAAAAAAAAACATTTTTATTCAAAAGTATGGAGAAGAAAGAAGAAAAAAAGGAAAGGAAAAGGTTGTTTGAAGGTAAGAGGAAGCTCAGAGATGCGGAGAGACAAGTAGCTTTGGATTACTTTTTCCTTTTTTTTTTCTTTATAACCACAAAGAGATTATGATTCTGTTGTAATGTTTCACCAGTGAAGATTTCAGCTGAAACATGGAGAGCAACTAGAGAGAGAGAGAGAGAATGTGTCCCTTATAAGCTTTTACATGGCAAAACGATCCATATAATGATCTTCCGGTAATTTGGGTCGGAGACTTCCAAAGGTAGCCCAGAAATTCCCCCAATAGAAACTAACATTTATACCAACAACGGCTTCATATTTTTTCTCATCTGAATCCTATTCACTTAGTCTTTTCGTCTTCTCCAAGACGTCTTGACAGAGAACGTACGTTTTTTGACGTCGTTTAGCGACATCGAGAAACGACAGTCATCAACATCAAGCTCAAAATCATCTACATTTTGTATTTTCTATTAATAATTCTGAAAAATTATCAAAATTACGGAAGTTATAATGACTTGTCCAGGTGAGAAACAGTTTTACCGAAATCCTAAAAGCGTGAAAGAGAGAGATTAAAAAAAAATTTATTTTTTGCCTCAGTTGTTATATGTTTATACATAGTTAGTTGTAAGAGATTTTCTGGCTTCACTATGTTTTCGTGAAACATACACTTCTGAGCTGTTTTGATACACGTGGTGGTGGCAACACGTGAACTTCACGTGAAAAACATCGCAGCTCATTTTCATACGGAACAAACGTCAAGAACGGTTGTATTTCCACAAAACTTTCTAACTTCCAACCTTTCAGATTCTTTTATTTTTTCTCTCATTCTGTCTCTCTCACTCTTTCCATCTCACTTTCATTCATCTCTCTTCTCTCTATTGAAACTTAGTTTCCAGCATTCCCTCTCAAGTTTCTTTTTTTTTCTAAAATACGCCTATTTGAACAGATCGGAAATCTACGAACATAATATCAAAAATAAAAGTTTTCTGAAGGAAAAGCTCCGTAGCCAAGTTCTTACCATTCACAATTTCTTCGTTATTTGGTGGAATTAATTCCTTTATAAACTGAAAATCATCTATAGAAGCTTAAATCCATCTCCTTCTTTTTCTTTTTTTTCGATTCACCTCGAATTTTTTTTCTTAAATACTATTCGTGCGTTCTTCCATTGACCACATCCGTATTCGAGTCGTTCATGTCTTTCATTTGAAAACGAAAAATTATTTTTCAATCAGGCTTGAAGTTGTCCAAGTTGGCAATTATAAAGCCAGCTTGTATGCCGGTTTTTCTTAACTCATCTAGCAGTATTTTTGAAAATGAAAAAAGTAAGTTCAGTCTGTTTGAGAAAACACATGCACACACACATATACACACACTCACATCATCATCATCATCATCATCATCATCATCGTGATCGAAGCACGCAGTTTAGCGAATAAGAGTTGAAGAAGAAGAAGAGACGATGAAGAAAAAACATTTTTCTTTGTTATATTCATATGTGTTAGACGAATATACTAACGTCTCCTACTTTCAGATGATTTTGATGACGACAGTCAGCCGAATGGAATATCTAAAGATTCTAATATAATTGTTGATACGACAGTTCAGATTAAGTCGGTTGAACGTGAAACATGGTCGACGAAGGTAGAGCTCAATGATTTGACAAATACAATTTGTGATTTTTAGGTGGATTTCTTGCTTTCTGTTGTCGGCTTTGCAGTTGATTTAGGCAATATATGGCGTTTTCCGTACTTATGTTTCAAAAACGGTGGAGGTAGAGATGAAAGATGATAACTTATGCTAACTTATATGATATTGAAGGAGTGTTTTTAATTCCATACTGTTTGATGGTATTATTAGCTGGCGTTCCATTATTCTATATGGAATTATCATTGGGACAGTATTATCGCCGTGGAGCTATCACTACCTGGGGACGTATATGTCCTCTATTTAAAGGTTTTCTAAATATATTTTATAGTTAAAATTTGCATAAATTAGCATAACTTAAGGAATTGGATATTGTGTAATCATGATCGCCTTTTATACTGACTTTTTCTATAATGTCGTATTAGCTTGGGGTCTTCACTACTTATATTCGTCATTCAGTTTTAAATTGCCTTGGGCAAGTTGCAATAATACTTACAACAGTCCAGCTTGTTATGAACCAGAGTAAGTTCACATTTGCTCCATCCTTTCAACTTCTGCAAAATGTTTAAAGCTGGAGTCAAGATCATTCAGCAAAGTGTCGCGATAGTACCGGAGATTCAAAATTGAGAATCTCAGCTGCTGAAGAATATTTCTAGTACGTTCGCAACTTCTCAACTGGAAATTCTACCTCAATTCATTTTAGTAAAGGATTCTTGGGATTGCATGCTGCTGGTGAGCCAAGTTCACACGTCATCAGAAGTCTGGATAATCTTGGTTCGGTGAATTATGAAATTGCGGTGAGTACTGTCAATGCGGGGGATGAGTACAACTGATAACTTGCTCCAGATATCTTTAGCCCTGGTGTATCTTATCTGTTATTTCTCGTTATGGAAAGGTATCGGAATGAGTGGAAAGGTTTGTTTACTTATTTTCTTTCATTTTCTGCTAAAACGAACTTTTGTTTCTGCAGGTTGTCTGGTTCACAGCTCTATTCCCTTACGTGGTTCTCGGTATTCTATTCGTTCGGGGTATTACACTTCCTGGCTCAGAAGTTGGGATTGACTACTACCTTCGTCCCAACTTCACAATGCTGAAGGTAGAATTGAAAATAAAAGGAAAGAATTTTGAGAAAGAGAAGAAATTCGCCAGAAAGAGCAAATTTTTCATTTTTTCCGATCTTTGCAATAAAGATTGCAAGAGGATTGGGTCCAAAGTTCTCTCTCAAGCATTTGACATCAGTTTTTACATTAGGCTTAGTCTGTTTAAGCGAATGGACAGACATCATACAATTAAGTTTAAGCTTTTCATAAACCATGAAGCCTTCGATTACATAATATATAAGTTCAAATAGAAAGTTCATAAGATAGTGCATGAGATGGCTACTGATATGAAGGTTAATGACAATCCTTTGAAGCAACCGTCGGTATGGCAAGATGCTGCAACTCAAGTATTCTTCTCACTTGGACCTGGATTTGGTGTTTTGATGGCTTACTCTTCATACAATCAATTTCATAATAATGTTTACTTGTAAATAATTGTAATCTTGAAAAACAAACAAACATCTTTGTTTGAAGGGATGCTCTGATCACCAGTACCATTAACTGTGCCACAAGTTTTCTTTCCGGCTTTGTCATATTCTCCGTATGTTTGATTTGGAACGAGATGTCATTGTATTTTATATTTTGAAGGTACTTGGCTATATGTCATGCAAAAGTGGAAAACCAATTGATCAAGTTGCTCAGGAAGGGCCAGGTAATGCTTTCTCACCTTCCAATTCTTTTTATACCCTCTTTTGTCAAGGTCTTGTTTTTGTCGTTTATCCGGAAGCTCTAGCAACAATGCCGGGAGCTCCTGCATGGTCTGTTCTTTTCTTCCTTATGCTAATGACACTTGGATTGGATAGCTCGGTAATATAAAAACAAACAACACTAATAGCTTATTGAAACCTCTTTTTTTTCAGTTCGGAGGATCAGAAGCCATCATAACGGCTTTATCAGATGAATTTCCTATTATAAAGAAGAATCGTGAAATCTTCATAGCAATCCTTTTCATTTTTTATATGGTCATCGGAATTTTCATGTGCACAAATGTATGTTCGAAGCATTCGTTTCAAGTCTCACGACTGTCTCATACTTAAAGGGAGGAATATTGATTATGGAATGGCTGATCATCTATGGAACAACTTGGGGACTACTGATTGCTGTATTCTGTGAAGTTATGGTTGTTGCTTACATATACGGTCAGTGAACAAGAATTCAACATTGCAATACAATGTATTTGAAGGAATCAAGCAATTCGTAGCTGACTTGAAGGAAATGCTCGGATTTGAACCAGGACTATACTGGAGAGTCTGTTGGACAATTTTAGCTCCAGTGTTTTTACTTGTAAGCTATTGAAGGACATATGAAAATCAGAATCCAATTGTAGACGATGATTTTATCTTCATTTATCAATTATCAGCCATTGACTTATCAGGATTATCAATATTCAACACTTGCAAATATTATTGGAATCATGTTTGCGTTATCAGCAGCTGCAGCTATACCCATAGTAGCCCTCTATAAGTACTGTAGAGCTCGAGGACAAACATCATCAGATGTAAGATTAAGGAATTGCTTACAAGTATTGAATCTCATTTGTTATTCAGAAATTCAAAAAAGTCATAATGCCATACCGTAAGAGACCGAATCAACGTGAATATCAGCCAATTGGTGTTCGTCGAAGCGAAGATATAATGCTTTAAATGTTAATTAAGAAATCTATAGAGATGAAACAGTAAGTGAGATGAGTTACCAACAATCAGTTTCTACGTAGCTATACAGTAGCATTCCTTTCTAATGTAATACTCAATATAATATTTTATAAGACAAAAAAAAAATAAATTTTATTTATTCATAGCTATTATAACTAGTAGATGATTATGCTAATTATGCTATATTACGTGAAATCTTACGTGAAGATTTTTCATTTAACATACTGTTATGACGTGATGAACGGTTGTGCATATGGACAGTCGACAAACGAAAGTGTTATTTCATCAATATTACTTCTCATTTGTACAATATACTTGAATAAAGCAAAACACGCATGATTAATGTCAATTAATTATTATTTATATTATATTATATAGTTAATTAAATATTAATTTTTAGCTGTTGATGCTAGCTTTTGCCTTTGAGATATGAGAATCCAAATGAACACTGAGAGTATGGCTATGAGCACATTTCCAACGGTTAATATTAAAATGATTATTGAGCTAAGTGAAAGAGCCTTAAATCGAAATCCCATTAAATCAATCACATACAAAGCTTTACCTCATTTGAGCAAGCAGGTAATGAGTCTAAGATAGTGAGTGAACCAGTGAATACATCGATTGTTCCTATTCCTGAGCCATGAGAACGAATCTGAAACATTGTTTTTGAAATTTTCTTATCAAATTAGAGAAGAAGGTTATGATGAGCCAGAAAAAGACTTACAACACGAGCGTGAGGGTCATGAAGTATGTTATGCTCATGGTGATGGTGATGATGAGCATCCTCTCCGCGCAGTTTCGGACAATTGCTTGGAGGACTGATATTGGCACACCCTTCGTCATATTTGATACAAAGAGTTATCTAGTTTAGAGATTTAAATAGTTCTTTCAACTGAATCATACCTGGCACTGAAATTGCAAAACAGGCTTGTCAGCATACTTGAAGACATGATATGGCTTTGTTGCTAGGCGCAAAGAGCTGTCGTAATCAGGAGTAGATAGGAGAACTGCATCCAAGCCACAACTTAACATCGATTAATTATGATAACTATCCACTGTTGTCAGTTAATACCCAGTTGCATCAAGAATATCCACACGATCTCCATAACCATTATCGACGTAGCATGAATGTACGAGCATTCCGAATGTGTCTTTCTTCTCGACTTCAATGCATTCCCATCTATTGTTAATATAGATTAGGATATAAGATATAATTAGTTATACCTGTGATAAATACTTTCACCTAACGTTGCGTATTTGACTATTTCACCATCTGGCGAACCTTTACGCAAAGTATATGTACATTGGGGCATCTGATAGATTTGTTCACGGAATTGAGTTGTGATCATACTGTAATAGTTTTTTTCTTGAAACTGTTCTGCGAGCAACATAATACCTGACAGATAGAGGAACTGTTACATGCTTCTCTGCTTCCATATAGAAACATTGAACTTTCACAGTTTGATCAACTTTAGTCATGAACCTGAAAAATAAAGATGAAGTCTATTGTACTTTCCTTATAACGTACATTGAATGAAACATGAAGACTATTGTCACCTCAACGTATATCCCCCGTGGTTCTAACTAGAAAGAATTGATGATGAATCAAATAATTGATTTAGATTACCGATCGATATCTATGTACATTGCATGTATTAAATGGTATTGAAATTCCAATACTCTTTGGATCGGGAAAGTGTTCAGGTCCAGCCCTACATTCAGCTTGATGGAAATGGTCCATCACAAAAACGAATCCATCGAAAGGTTTCTTTGTGGATGCTCGCACCCCTATTCGATCCGCTGCACAAATGATCTCAGGTGTACCGGGACCTATCATTTAACACAAACATTTTACTCATATGTTAACAAAAAACTAACGAAATTCAGTTCGACACATATCCCATGTTAGAGAATCTGCTACTGACTTGTCCAACTGATCAAAAGCTTCTACTGTGAGCACACGAACAGGATTCCCAGTAATCTTAAGCAAATGGCATACGGATCATCTTTTGTTGTAAATGAGAGTTTGGTGTTTATTGCTTTGCATGCTTCCAACCTTTATAAATGAAAGACTTACTTGATGAAGTTGGTGAACATTCACAAGGTTCGTTACTCCTATAGTGTAAAGCATAACATGTGCCTCTCTTAACTGTTGTGATGGCTCTGATACATCGTCCTTAAATTAAACTTCAGAATTAGAAAAAATGTTGTCGATTCTTGTAAATACCTGACTCTGTCCATCTGTAACGACTACAGCAACTTTTGGTACATCACCTCCTCGAGCTCCTTGAAATCCTTTATGTAAAGCCTCATGTAGAGCTTTGCCCGTATTAGTAGCTCCTGACAAGTATGAAATACGCTGAATGGCTTGTTCTAACTGAAGAGGATAGGTATGTTGTTTGAAATTCTTCTGCTAGTAATATAATGTATAATAATGTACCTGAGTAGCTTGAAGATACTGATTAAGAGAGAATTCGATTTTTGGAGATTCGGAATACTGCATGATAGCCATATGACTCCCATCTTCTGATACATTGAGACGATTAGCCAAATGCATAGCAAACATGATCTAGATAGTTGCAACAAAGATATACAATGTGTTATATTAGAATATTAAAAACTTGATTCTGGAAAGTATCATCTCCAATAGATCCTGATCCATCAATAATCAGAAGTAAATCAACTGCTTTATTTGCTGTGCATTCATGTATGAGCTCCGAATCAACTAAACCATTATCTATTGGGAATGATGAAGATGTATGTAATACGATTGAATAACTAGCTATATATATTAAAATCTGAAAAGCAATCATGTTTTTTCCAGCCATCTCTGCTAACTCAAATACCTTCCAACTCCAACAGTTGTACAAATCGATCATATTCCAATTAAGTCATTTAGTACCAACTATATAGTTTCGATCTGAAAAATACAAGAATTTAAAAATATTTTTTATAACCTTCTTATAATCCTTTTTTGATTACAGTATTCCGCTCATTACGTCATTATCATAATGTCGGTATAGATCAAAGAGAAACAGTATTGTTGTAGAAGAAACATAAAACAGTAGCAAAACAAGAGAATGAAGATTTATAAGCAGACGAAAAGCCGAATGAACTTGATGATGCAATAAGGACAAAACTTTCTTGCACCGCTACTCTTTCCTTTCTACATCTAACTCATATAGCGCCTGAGGCAGTATCAAGGTAGAATTAAAGACAAAAGATTATTATCTCATAAATAATGTACAACTTACTGTACAAATCAAAATCAATAGAAAGAGAATTGAAAAAGGAAATGATGTTTGTCGTTGAGGACTCTTGAGACTATGCGAATGAAATGAAAATGAAGGAAAGGACGGAAGTTCATGGAAATTAATAATGTAAAGAAAAGTGAAATTATTAGAACTATGCCAAGGAAGGACATCTTCGAAGGTTTCATCGCTATCATACATGGGCAATTTGAGAAGTTAAAAGAAGTTCAGATAGATGATTGAGAGAGAGAGAGAGATACTATCTATACAAGAATGAAGAGAGAGCGAGTGATAAAAACGAAAAAAAAAGTTTAAAAGAGGAAAAGCAATTATCCTTGTTTTCTAACAGTTTTTTGATCATGAAATGATTGTCCGAATCACCAATTAGTAAAGTCAATAAAAGCAAAAAAAAAATTTAAGCAAAATGGTGTCAAATCAAGCGAGATCTGATCGATAGTTGAAGATTCTGATGAAAGTAATCAAATTGGAAAAATAGAAAGATCATTCTGCTTTGAGTTTTTTTGTGAAAAAAAAAGAAAAATGAAAACAACATGATAAGGGGAGAAATAGAAAAAGGCTGATGATGAATGCTTGACCCGCATTGAGATTCGGACCAAACGGGCTACTACTTCTCATCGTTTGCAGTTGGTTTTTCATTTTTCGCATCACCATGTCTTACTTACTTATCCTCTCTATATCTTTCTATTAATCTCTTTCTCTCTATCTTTCTCTCTCTCTCTTTATCTTTTCCTCTCTCTCTCTCTTAGTAGACTTTCCCTCTTAGTTTATAGGAAATGATAAAATGATTATGTACAATGAGATTGCTGTTCATAGGTTAAATGATTCTTAGCATTTCCTGAAGAGATTTGTAAGGAGCTGAAAGACGAAGAAGAGGATCAAGTTTTATTAACTGTCAAGTATAGCAGAATGATTAACTATGTGATAATATGAAATAAGAAGTTATCAACTTGTATTGTGCCGGATCTGGCTGAGAAACAAAAAAGAAGATTGTCATCTCAAAATGATTTCCTCAATCTAGCCTGAGGGGATGATTAGAGGGAAGGGGGGATGAATAAGAGAGAGGTTATAATTCTGATGAATGATGTGATAAATTATAAATGATAAAGAGAGGAAGATGAAATGAATGGAAAACTCTTGACATGGATATACCTGATTAGGTTAAGATTCCATAGATCATACGTATCAATAGGATATCCCTCTCTCTCTTTCTCTGTGATTCCCTATTTCTTCATTATATGATAATATTTCTCTGGTAATGCTGTCTCTCTCTCAAAAACAAAGGCATAGAGAGAGAGAGGGATAGTTGTGAGGGTGAAAGTCACAAATAAAAAGAAGAAACTGGATAAAAGATATAATGACGATAATTCATGAAAGTGAAATTCCTTTCTCTAATTTATTCTCCTCGGAAGTTTCAAATAAGGAATGAAATGCATTGAAATTATGGGAAAAGTTATTCTGTTGTGTTCAGTCAGATGGTTTTTCATCTAATTTGCATATTACTTTATAAGTCACGTGAAGTCTGTTGACGTGAAAAAGAGCGTCCAATATCATTTACATCATGCGTAGTCGTATATAACGGTTGTTCCCTCTAATGATATTTTAAGATCTCAAAACCAAACCATATATAGTATAAATTAGCATAAACATAGAGTTTAAAGAGTTATAAAGTTCAGTAATATGTCATTGTTAACCATAATTTCCATATTGAATATAAATGTTCTGATGACTATCTTTCAAAACATATGTGACCTTCAAGTAGCTTGATGGTTCGAACACAAGATGCATAAGTAAAAGAGTCTATGAAATCTGTATAAGCTATTACATATGAATAATGAGAAAATAATATTTTATTTTTAAAATTAACACAAAAATACAGAATGAGATTCTCAATGTAGCACATTTCAGACAGTTGGTTAAGGAGAGAAAGAGAGAGGACTGTATAAGCTATAGGCTATGTATGATTGACAAAACAAAGATGGAAAGAGAAAGAAGAAGCATATCTTATTATATATATAATTAACATAAATTATGCTAATTTATATGTAAATTTAAAGAAGGAATGATAGAGAATGATAGAAGACTAGCTTACAGTTGTGATTTTCAAAAATACGACTGAAATAAAGAATCTTTGTATACGAGCCAAAGATTGTTTCATCACTTGCTTATATGGAAAGTAATTCTGACGTCATCTGGGATTATTTGTAAAGCACAAAACATATTTTAATATATTAAATATTATATTAAAATTTTGAATAGTTAAGGTGACTGAGAATTAGTGGTTAAATCGACCATATTTGCAAAATTCACTGCTTTATCTTCATCTTGCGCCTTCAATGCATCGTTTAAGCTCAAACCAGCTGGTAGTCGGGATGCCAGGAAAGGACTTAATAAGTATCATTAGGATCATGAACAATATTTCAATCTATATACCTGGCTGGATAGTTGAAAGCTGCTGCTGTCTTTGCCCACATATCACAGGCAAATGGAGATCCGGCACCAAGCATGGCATAGGCTGCCAATTGTGGATGGAAGAGACCTGGCCATGGAAGAGTTGGCACCTTCTGACGTTTGTCTTTCATTCGACGGTTTTGGAACCATACCTGAAAAAGAAAAAATATACTGAAGGTTCTCCGAAAAAATATTTTTATAGTTTTTGTTTATTTAAAAGCTGTCTGTGAAGCTTTAGTGAGATATCAGAAGCCCCTAAGGAAGTTGGAAAAGGAAGATTTGAAATAGATTTAAAAGAATTCATCATGTAAGAGAGGAGACATACAAGTGACAACGACCTCTTATTCATTTGCTTTGATAGAGAGGCAACACCAGAAGCTAAACAGAAAGGAAGAGAGTAAAGGAGAATGAAGAGTGAAAGACGACAAATCCCGAAAGAAAGGAATCATATCTTAAGAATTTGCAATTCCCTGAAGGCAAATTGATTATGACATAACAGTTTTCGGTCGTTCATGCTCATATATGGAATAATAAAATGAACAACAAACAGATGAGATTTGAGATGAAATTGACGGCAAAAGACACACACACCAACTTCTCTTAAAACAATATGTAACATGAAAGACTATCGTCCATAGAATTTAAAAGCTTCTCAATACTTTTGAAGAATGATGCTATTGCTTGGAGTTAGAATACGGTAGAGACGTTATGACGAAGATTATGATAGACGACACTCAACATAACATTTTTGAGACATCATACAAGCACTGGAGAATTAGAGAACAATACGAAAATTTCGTACTACCACATATCGTGCACCGCTATGTTTCACTTTCCTTAATCTATATACTCACCTTGATAGTCCCTTCAGGCAAATTCAATTCAGCAGCAAGTTCTCCTCTTGTTTTACGTGAAACGTAATTCTCCTTTGAAAATTCTCTTTCCAGCCGATTAATTTGTTCACGAGAGAATGCTGTTCGATAACGACGTATTTGGCTATCATCACGAGGATCTACAAAAATTCATTTTTAATATTCGATGAAGAAGATCGAGTCATTTTCTATTTTTTTTTTGTTGCCCGAATTGCCAAACGAATACGTACGCTGAATGATTCGGTTCAGAGACAAGAATTTTTTAATTTTCAACTCCTCTCTCCCTCTTCCTGTCTCCCTTCCATCTCATTGTCATAATAGTGTTTTTCGTATGAAACAAAACAAAAAATTATTTCTGTTGGCGATTTTAATTGGGAAAATGAGTGGAAAAGTTAAATGAATGGCAGAATAAAAAATTAAGAAGCTGGCACAAGAGGTAATTTCATAAAAACGACAGCAGCTGCCTGCCTACGACAAGATAGGAGATTTGCGTTACAAAAATAGAGAATGACTATAACAGAGAGAGAGAGAGGGAGAAAATGGAAAAATGAGGATAATTGGCGTACGAGTCATGTCATGCAATGAGTAGAAAAGACGGTTGAGCGATGATCCTTCAATCTTTGCTTGACTGTTCCATACGTTTAAACAACAAGTCACAGCCTATAGCATGTACGGTGATGCTTCACGACTAACCGATAATATATATCACACATTCTGTGGGATAAGACATTTTTGAAATTTAAAAAGAATTCAAGAGACAGTGTAGTTTAGTAGCTGCTAAGCTGTTAATCAGTTATTCAGCTTCTAAGAGAGAAGGCAAAAAGTAATTTGTCTCATATTTTGATGTCATTTAGCTGCTCATAACAAGGCATCGTCTGTCAATTAAATAACGTTAAAGATGCAGTATGGCATATATAATTTGGATGACAATTAATGTTATAAACTGGTAATAATACGTAATTGAGATGAAATGAAATGAAAATAAATTTTTGAACAAAACTCTTCATGACCTTACATGAACGAAAAAGGAATTTTTTCCGTTCATTTTTCTCTTACAATATAAAGTATAGCGGTTGTGCTCTATCTCATTTACATATACTTGTGGTACACGTGCAATTTGACGTCAATGAGTAGGAGTAGCTCATATTCATTTTGTATTACTGTGTGATAGTAGAGCGGTTGCTTATTTCAACCCGCTCCTTAGCATTACAATTGAAGTTAACTCTCCTAACCCCCTTCTCTTTGCAACTTGCCTTTCGCAACCATTCTTTTCTTTTTATATTCTTTCATTTGATGTTTTCTCTTTAAAGCTTTTATATAAAAAAGCTAAAGTCTTATTAAAGAGATTGCTTAAAGCAATAACGTGTGATTGAATAGCAAATTAAAAATATATTTTGAGAATGATTGCTAAGATTACGGTATGTATAAGGGGGGGGGAGGAGTATGTGTGTGTGTTGGAGAACGGGGGGCTGGAGAGACAGGTAAATATAAAGAGAAAATTTGACAATTACGAGGTATAGAGACTGATTGTATGAGAAATAATGAAGAGAATAAGGAGAAAAAAGAAAAAAGTAAAAGAACATGTTTATATTGGTGTCGTAAAGTGTTACGATCGTTTACGATCTCTCACACCCCGGTAGATTTTCTTAAATCTTTTGATGAAAGACAAAAAGGTTTTACCGCTAGTTAGGGACATCTATCTACCTTCCGCTCTCCCTCTCTCTCTCTCTCTCTCCCTATTAGTTTTCCATGTTAATTAAGCGTTCCAACATGTATATGATGATAGAGGTTAACAATACTATATATGGTGACCTTGCTCATCACTTATGCTTTTTCAATTTCACAGATCTTCAAAAGAATAACGTAAGCTTCTTCTTTTTTTTCATTTCATCCTCTTTTTGTCATTTTCATCTCATCTCAGAGCATTTTTTTTATGTTTTTCATATTCCAGAAAAAAAGAAGAACGGAGAGGGAGAGTGAGAAAGAAGCTTTTTTAACGAAGAAAATGATAATGAAGCATGAGCGAAATTTGGGAGAAATGAATGGTCGGCTGACTGATTGACGGTCTGACATGAGGCGAACAATCAGAGTAGTGAATTATCTTCAATAAGAATGAAGAAAAATAGATGAACAAGACAAAATGAATGAAAATTAAAATGAAATGTGTCGAAAGCGAGATTGAAGTTAATTGAGGAAGAGCGTTTGAGCCATTACAATCTCTATTACTGGATATTAGAGGATAATTTGTCTTTTTTGCCACGTGTCAAGAATAAGGAGGGAAATGACTGTCAAATACACATGTATTGAAATTTTCTTTCTTTCTTCAAGCTCATGTGTTAACTTGAGTTTTAACCAAAAAAATTTTTTTAGAATAAAGTTTTATGAATACCTCCTGATCCCATATAAGGATGATGTCTGGGGATAGATGACAGACGATCATTTGCATACGATGATTCGTCGTCCTTCACACTTTGAGCACTTGAGATTGGACTGGATGTCGTAGCGCCAGCTGCAGTCATTGGCGGTGATGAAGAGCTGGCAGAATCAGATGCTGTTGACGATGATGATGAAGATGATGACGAGGTGGATAACTGGAAGAGCAACGGATTAACTCAATTCGAGACCATATGGCCAATAGAAACTTATATTTCGAGATTTGAATATGTATGAAACAAGAAAGAGTGCTTACCTGATCGCCAATTAAGGAATCAATGTGAAAAGCCATGTTTTCAGCGACGTCTTACTTGATAGCCTGAGAGACAGACGGTTACCAGCAATGATACAGTTTTGCCTTAATCTAAATGAGGCTGTCTGAGAAAGAAAAAAAGAAAAAGCAAATGTTAAATAAGTTGAATAAAGATATTGAAGAATGCAATAATCTGTTATTTTGCGAAATCGGCGGTCTATTCTACAAGTTAGTCTTGTATGGAATTAAGAGAGAACCGATGAGGACAGAATAATAGGGGGATTGAAGCTCCGCCTTCTATTTAACTGCTAGTAACAAGATATTTAAGAGAATAAAGAGGAGAGAGAATGAGAAAGAGAAACCCATATTAAGAGAGTTTCGTATACAAACGGGGAAGATTACGGTAGTTCGCTCCGCCCACTTCACTAAAGGCCAGCCAACCAGAGTTAACGAAACTTGATGAGAATTTTGCTTGTCTCGTCCTCGTCATTGAGTTGTTAATTTTAAAAGAAGTACTAAAATCATTCAGATGGAAGACCCATAAAGATGGAAATTAAAAAAAAAAGAAATTATGAAGAATAAGGTGAAGTTTATCATTCCGACGTTGAATTCCTCTTCTACTGTCCTCTTTAATTCTTTTTTTTTTGTTCAATCATTTCCACCAATGAACTTGACTGTACCATGATAGAGCATGATAGTGGACATCGTTGATGAATTATAATTCTTGAACATCCATTTCTTCATTAAATGACTTTGTGTTACTTGAAATAACATCGTAAGAGAGATGTGAAGCGCAGAAACAAAGAGGATTGAAGAGAAATGCAAAGGAGTTTCATATGGAAGAGTGAAGCTTTAAATCATTGTCATGTTATGCATAGAATAAGTTAAGCTATTTGTTAAAAATGATTTTTGTTCAGTTTTTTAGTTGGCAAAGGCAGAGGCAAGAAATGAACTAAGATAGGAATTGCGATTGCTTCTAAAACAAAAAAAAATGACGAGTAGATTCAAATGAAAATAGAGAGAAGAGTGTTAGAAGACAGACAAATAGATTATATTGATGGTCTGTCATGCCTCTGGAGAATATGAATGTTCTAATAATGTTAAATAAGTTATCCGAAAAGATTGAGAGTTTTTTGACGAATCTGCTGCATCTGATAGAGAGATGAAGAAGGACAAGGGATGGAACGATGGAAGCAGCGAAGACATAGTGAAATAACAAATTTCTATTTAGATATTATAATTTTTAAAAAATTTTTATCTGATTTAATTTTAAACTTTCAACCTCTCGCTTCATATGTGAGGCAGAAGTGAAACGTACATGATCAGGCTATCTCATTTGAACCAAATGATGGTTGTAGAGATGTTATCAGATGATATAGCTGATGAACATTCACATCGTTGTGTTGTTGTTGTAATAGAATACAGTTGTTGTTGTTATTATTAATGTACTTTTTTTCATTAAATATGACCCTAATATAATAAATATTTCTTTAAAGATCGGAAAGACTAAAGGAACATTTCCGGAAAGGTGTGGTTTCCGTTGTCCTCGAACATCCGTTTACAACCGTAATTTTGATGAGCGTATCATATGGTCTGTCCTCATCTAGGTATCGTATACCCTCTCGCCTTCCATACCTATCTCATCTTCTCTCTATATCGCGGTTTTGTCTTTTTAGTGATTATCAGATGTGAAACGACATCTTTAGATGTCAATTATCTTATTCTCTCAGCTGCTCAGCGATAAAAAATGATGCAATTTCCTATGAAATCGGATTGGATCAGCAAGATATCTTCCTATAACACATGGTGTTCTTGATTCTGTCATGTTTGTGAGTAGTAATGATGGGATGGTTTAGAATCAGTGTGCATGCATGTACAGACATGAGGCTTCCTTGTAGAGCTTACTTTCACTTAATGCTGTTGTGTGTGTATGCCTATGTAAAACATAAAAGCTTAGAGCATATTTATATCTATTGAAGGAGATTTATTGAGAGAGAGAGTAAAAAAGAGTGTGAGAGAGAGAGAGGAATAGTGAGAGGGGGAGAGAAAGAGAGAGAGAGAGAGAGAGAGAATGTTTTCGTTCCAACACACAACATATGAGATCTTAATGAAAATTATTTTTTTTTCTTACATTTTATAGGATTAGAATGGTTACAACTAATACATGTAATTGGTTAGTTTTAACATAATTTGATGTTGTAAAAGAACAATTAACCAACAACTATCATGTCCATTACGTTGCCTATATATGGTCTTGCAGCCTTGTGGAGGTATGGACCTCTCATAGACATTGATAGAGGGAGAATGAGACTAGAGAGAGAAACAATGAGATGCAATGAGAGAAAGAGCAAAAGAAAACGATGAATAACTGAAAAACTAATTAAACAAATGAAATGACTCATTGTAAATGCTTGATCAACTGAACCACAAAAAATAAAATTACAAAAACTGATTTTTGTATTAAATAATTGATTTCTTGTTTATGTATGTTTCAACAGAATCATTGGATGTCATTTCAACTTCCCAGCTTGTCCATTCAGTACCCTAAATAGAGATTTCTGAAGATGTCTCCATCACACATGGTTTACGCTCCTGAACTCATTATCATAAGAGATAGAGTTATGTTTTTGGAATGCTATGAATCATACCTCTAACGGATAGAGAACATCCAATTCGCGTATGTGTAGATTGTCATCATTTCGTTGAATGATAAAGAAGAACAACTGAAATGAGAAATGGTGAGAAAATTAATTTGAAAAAAAAAAAGATTTTTTTTGCAAATTAAATATAAAATTACCGTATCGATGATTGGATCAACGGACATTCGAATCAGCCAGCATGTACTTCCAATAAAATTGATGACAACGAAGCAAAATGAGATCAGACGTGTTTGACAACTCTGAAAAAGAAAAAAAAAATTCGAATCAGCTATAAGAACTTGATTTTGATAGTCCATTTAGCATAGCAAAATCCATAAAACTAAAGGTCATATTGCCTTACTTGAGCTTCACAACTGACGGCAAATGTGAAAAGGCCAAAGTAGGCGTAAAGCTGAAGAATGCTGCAAATTCCGAACGTCAAGATATGAATTGTTTGACGCAGAATCATAAAACCATAATGTTCATGACGATACAGTCCGTTACTTGAAATAACTTCCAGTACAACCTGTAAGTGAAGTACGTTGTTTGAAGGTGTATTCTCACTGCCCTTCTTCCCCCTCTCTCTCTCTGACTTCAAGTCATCAGAGATCTCACCGTTCTTGATTATTTTAAATTTATATCGTTTTTTTCACAAGTTTTCAGGTCAAGATACTATTCCATTGAATGAATCATTGAGTTATCGTTATGCGACTCTTCCTAGTAATGGTGGTTACCTTCAGATGAATAAAGTAGCTGAGAAGGAATGGCAGAATTACAAGGCCGATGATGCACATGATATAAGCTTGTGAAACAGGATCCTTGAAAACATGACAGATATCCGAAAGCCATGGAAGGAACTAAATTATAGGCATCAAGAGTGAAATATTATGAATTTATGAATTATCTTACATTATGAGGCAGACTATGATGAGCAAAAATGAAATATCCGCCCAATGAGCCAGTTGGTTGCAAGCTGAGGAGGATTTAATGAGCATTGATGATGGAGTTATAAAGAGATTATGCAAACCTTGTAATATCTTTTAAATCTCTCTCAGTGATACTTGTATGATCCAATAAAGCAATTTCCTTTGTATATACAACCCAGAACAGTATGATTGATATCAGCCAGAATGCTTGGAAGAGAGGAAAGAATACTCGAACAGGAATTTGCTGAAAAAACATTTTTTTTTCAGTTGCGTTTTCCATTTGAATCTTCTCTGATCGTACTTTGTATAGTAAAGGTTGTCTGATGGCAAAGATGGTTACCATAGCATGAGACATATATCCAAATGCTACATTCCATGCATTAATCGTCATTAATATCTATAAAATAATGAAAATATTTAATTTGTATATTAAGTCAATTAGCGTTGTGAGACCTGGATAGGAATACTGTAGATATTTTGATAGTACGGCGGAAGAATATTGTGGGATGATAGTGAGTGCGTTTCTCGTTCATGAATATAGAAATAGATCATAATAGCCGTCAATAAATCCAAAACCGATCGGTTAATGCCAAAGAGGTATCTCTACAATCATTTGGATGATGATGATGTTTAACACTTCCTCTTCATTCCGTCAGCCTTTTTTTTCGCTTCATCTATAGTATTACATAGAAGAAGCCTTGCTGGACAATCTTTTTTTCTATTTATATATCCGACAGAAAAAAAATTGAATTCATGCTCTCTTCTTTTCTTACGTAATTCACAACCGATCACATTGCCTGCAGAATTTCAAATGAACAGCACGTGAGAATGAGCCACGTGAAGTTCCTACATATAATTAGCATAATCTAACTTCAATATGAAGCTATTCAGATAAAGTTTGAATAGAAATATAAATGACATTGAATAGTTAGTTTTTGCAAAGAAAAATTTTTTTTTCGTTTTCCTACCTCTCTCTCTCCCTCTTTATCTTTCTCGGTTCTGCAGAAGATGATCAGATTGAACTTACTTTGATATCGCCATTCTCAAACATGCAGGCACGGATTACATCAATCAGAAAGAAGGAGTTAGCTAAAGTAATTTGCTTTTTCGTGTTAGAAGATTGATTGTAAGCCTACCGATAACTGCTAATAAAGAAAAAGATGTGAAGATAACAGACTCATTCTTGAAAATGAACGAAATCCCTTCAATGGCATGTTGCTCTTCTTGAGCACACGTTATGTTAAGGTATGTTGAATTCATAATTACCCCCCTTCAAAGAAAAAATAATTATTTAACAACAATGAATATCTATAGAGAAGCTGAAAGGATGAGACGACGTATGAAACGTGTTTACACGAGAATACTACGCATTAACAAAATAATTGAAAATGTAGTTTTTAAAAAAAACTTCTTTCTTTCGCTTTCACTCTCTCTCTCTCTCTCTCTCTCTATCTCTATCTCTATTTCTCTCTCTTTCTCTCTGTCCGACGTTAAAAATAGAAGTAGCCTGCTAGAGACGTGCTCTATGGCGACTCACAATCAGTTAGTCAAGAATTGTTCTTTATAAGCTAACAACATGCTTAGCTTAAACTCTTTCTTCTTCACACTCCAAGAAAAAAAAAGAAAAAAAATGAACAAACGGACACAAAAAAAAAGAAAAAGAAGAAGACGAAGTATAGAAAAGGAAAAATCAAAAACACAAAAAGGATTGTTTTATATTTTCACAAATAATTCCTTTTTCGTTTATCCCTTTCAGTTTTTTTTTCTTTCTCTTCATCTTCAGCTCATCTTACTTACTACTAATGTACTCGATCGTTTGTCTGGCCTATCGAAAGTTCGTTAACGAAAAAGAAATTTGAAAATGATTAAGTCTTATGACGTCATTGTAGGTCTTCTGGATTACATGAAATTTTCTTCAAAAAACATTGAAGTCTTCTTCTGCGTCTTTTAACAAAAATCATTTGAACTTCAGTAACTTGTGCATAGAAAGACATACGTTTGGCAAGAAAAACGAAAAGGAAATGCTCTGCGAATTAAATTTGTCGACATTTCGGTTTGAATTTTTTACTTTTCGTTTTGAGCGAAAAAAAAAAGAGGCAAAAGTAAGTTAAAAGGTGAAAAGATCAAAGAAGGTGGTAGAGAGATGGAGAGGGGAAGGAAGAGAAATAACGGAAAGGGCTAGAGAGAGAGAGAGAGAGAGATACTGAAGAAAAAACTCTTTTTTTTTATTCAACAAAAAAAAAGAAAACTTGGGCAAGAAAGACAGAAATAGAGAGGTGTAAAGAGTTTGATGGAGAGGCAGGCGAAGAAACGTGGTGGGCACAACCGTTCCGTATATTGGAAACATTAGAAAATGAAAATTTAAATGAAGAAGTGTCATCGCATTTGACGCAGATAATTTGAATTTCACGTGAGCAACGAGATGTCTTGAGCATTAAGCTAAGAACTGGCCAAGGAATGGGGCGGAGCTGGATTGAATGAATTTGATAAACAAAGAGAAAAAAATGAGAAAGTGAAGGGAAATACTATAAATAGATGATATATAATCATTAGTTTTATAAATTAGATGAAATAATTAAAATTATAAATTTTTTAAAATGTATTCATTCGAAGGAATTATGAGAGACTTCTGTAACAAGACGTTCAAAGAGAGAGTGGCAGTAAGAGAGAAAGAGAAAGAGAGAGAGAGGGGGAGGGATGATGAAGAATGTTGAAATGTGATGAAATGAGATGTTAAATAGAAGGATCAAATGAGCATCAAGCCTGCTGAATCGCTTCAAAGAATGAGAGAGCCCAAGCCTTTTTGCACATGAGCAAGTTTGTAGAATGTCGTTTTGGGTGAAGTTCAATCGTTGTGCTTGAAGAAGGAAGTAAATGATTGTTAATGAATTCATATGTATTGAATAAAAAAATTAGCTTTTCATACTTTTAAAACCTAAATGGTTTTCTATACTCTCACTTGCTGAATGAATTGACGAGTATGAGGATAGCAGCAGCAGCAGCAGCATCGACGATGACGACGATGGACCAGAACGATCGAAGCTATGGATATCTCGTATATGAATAGAATAAAACTATGTAGTTGTATTCAAAACGTTTTTATGAGATATTGAAATAAAAATCCAAGACATCACACTTGCGGCTTGATTATAATTTCAGCTTTGATGAGGTTCGTTTCATCCGATCATCTCTCATGCTCTGTCGTCTTCACTTTCTCCTTTTCTTCCTTTTTTGTATGAGACTCTCAACATCTTACATATTCTATCACTCGTCTCCTTCTCTATTTCTCGCAAAAGATATTCTCTAAGCTTATGTAATTTTTTTTTATCTGAACATCCTCTTCTCCTTCTTACTTCATTAGCAGATCTTTTCCTTACATGGTATGCAACTTATCCTTTTCTTCTATTTTGCTCTTCTTTTCAGAAACATTCTCTTCTTTCTTTTTCTCTTTAAGAAGATATAGAATGTCTTAAGGAGAAAAAAAGAGGAGAAGAAGGAGATAAAGAAGAGGAAGAACATGGAAATACTTGGGAAAAGGTTTCTAAGAACTTGTTCAGCCCAAATGTTATTTAGTCCTTGAAATTCAGTATTTGAAAGTATTTCTTGGTAACATCTCCATTAGTATCATATGGCTGGGAGTATAATGTCTGTTGATTATTAACGGAAATAAAATAATAAAAATGAGAAAATCTTTGATCTTACATGTACATCATTGTCGGATTGTGAATTGGAAAGGAGACAAACTGAGTAGAAGGATTGAAGATAAAGGAAATTAATATATTTAATCATGAAAAGTTATAAGTATTGCCGGAAAGTCACTTGTTACGCTGGATTATAGAAGAAGAAAAAGCTTCGTCGACGAATTTGCTCCAAAAGTCAAGATAAGTCATTGTTCGCGAGAAAAAAAAGCCTAAAATAGCACATCAAATATCCAATTTCATTTGGTTTTTAATGATTCAGTAAGTGTAGTTTTTAATCTTTAGAAGCTTCTTACTTTCACTTCATTTTGATGGAAAAAGTACTTCAAATGTTGGATGGGTATATGTAGAATGTCTAGTGATATCTCCTCGGATATGTCGAAATGATAATAACCGGGAGGGTGGGTGGAGAGAATGAGACATCCAACTCTCCTTGTATAGCCCCAATTGATAATCGTGATTGACCTTCTTTCATTTAATTATTATTCAAAAATGTCGAACAGCCATGCTATAATCTTATTGATTCTATTTCAAATCTCATACATCTCATGTCAATATGGTTTGTTTTTTAATCCCTCCATTTATTATTTCTTATACTCATTTCAGGTGTGGCTCCAGCATACATCGGCAGATTTGGTGATTATTTTGTGCCACGTTATGTTGACTATGGTTTGCAATTGCAGCATAATTTGCTTTTAAACTTTTTATTTTTCTAAGCTGGTCCAGCATATGGACGACAGGGCTATGGATCAAACTTACAAACTTTTTCGCGCGGTGGATATCGACCATATGGGGGTAAAGCATTTTTGAATGACCTAAGCATCATTTTTGTTTTTGAAGGACTTAGCGATTTACCTCCTGTAATAACGGTCGATCATTCTGGATTAGGTCAATCAGAACTTTATCGCGGACTAGGAAATCCTTATGCCGGCTCCTACTCTAATGGCATGGGGCGCCAATTCCCTCCATACTCAAACTTCAACTCGGACTCTTATAGATTTCGCTCAACTCTTGATTCAATGTATGGCCCATACTCTAAATCGTAGCTCGTATGATCAGAAGTCTAGCACAAATTTTATTTGTAATAAAAAATAAATATATATTTTTTAATTGAAGAGTACTAGACGATCACTTCCCAGCACACGAAATGAAACATTACACCTGGCGTTTCTAAATTAGAAGTGAAACGATTATTGATAGATTCTCCAAAAACATTATATACTAGGGCTCTTTACAAGTTTTCTCCGTCGTTTTACTTAGATTTCTCAAAAGATGTAAATCGCGCGAGTTAGTAATTGATTTATTCTTGGTGGAACTCGAGCATTACTTTTATGTTTATAAAATGCGAGTTTTGACCATTGCATTCACAAAACTTCCTGCAGTTATCAATAGGCTGATGTCAAACTAAAGGAAGAAATAATTTCCTTTCATGTAGATAATATTATAACAAGTCTATGTTAAGCTAATCCAAGGGAACTCGTGTGCTGTCCTTTGTCTCCACTACACAAAAGTTGTTCTGACGCCTAACTGCGTATAATCCGAACAAACAATTTAAATTGGCGGTTCTAAAATATTTTAGCGTTTCCAATGAATTTTCGCTTCTTTCCATGCTTTATCTTAGTTCTTTTCGAGTCTTTCTTTTTTCTTTTGGAACAATATTTGTTTGTTTGAGTTTTATGAAAGTAATATCTCCAAATAGCTTTAGGTCACTTTTGGTATGCAACCTGGGAGTAGTAAGGATACAAGGCCAGTTCATCCTCCTCCCCGACAAGGTGAGAAAATAAGGTTTTCAAATTGAAAATATATGTCTGGATATTCCCAGAACGTACTTTCAAAGCTTATAAATTGTTAGAAGATAAAGAAAAAGGAGGAGCAGCTAATATAAAAAGATATGATGGCCGAGTTCCGGGAAATCCTAGCGTAAGAATACTTCTCACTACTATTACTGTAAAGCAACCATATTCAGTACGATGTGGTCAAAGTGTCTGATCCCAGACCGAAATATGATATTTATCATAGACTACCTACAACTCTAGATTTACCTATTCCTCATTTTACGGTAAAATTCGTTTTCCACCTCATGAATGATATCTCTTCTCACGCAGATTGATGATAACTATACTGGGATACCGCCTAAAAGAGAAGTTTCAGTTTTCAATTTGAATGATAATGTAAATGCGGCATTTCTTAGAAATATGGCTTGGTAAGTCTTTCAGTAATTTCGTTTGAAATTCGTTTTTTCAGTAAAATTGGAGAAGTTGAGCAGGTGGAAGTGTACTTTCACCCAGACAAACACAAACATTTACAAATGGCCATGATTAATTTCTTAGATGAACGAGGTTTGAACTGATTTGATCCCAAATGCAAAACTTTGATTCAGATGCTCTCTCATTCGTTCGTCAGTTTGATGGAAAATCTGTGATGGGAATATCAATCACATGTGTTTCTGATCCTTTTTGTGAGATTCACTTATGAAACTGTCTATAAGAGTTTTTTCATAGATGCTTTACTTAGTAGACGTTATGAAGATAGTGTAGGGAAAAAGTGTCCCATTCCAAATCATTTGAAATCCCTCTCCGCGCACGTGTTGGAAGGACGACGTTTGAAGATTATATTGGATAATGGTTAGTGATATGTTTACAACCGTTCGCGGTCTCCGTTTAATTAAAAATGATTGTTCGTTGATACTCCAATCGAAGATTTTGACGTTTGACGTTTTTCGCGCGTGTGGTCGAATTCAAAAACATCAAAAAAACAGAGAGAAGAATGAGATAAGAAATGGGAAACTAGAAAATGAAGAAATTGTTTCAGAAGATGAGAGAGCAATACATGTGCCCGCATTCGAACGTTCGTTTTCCATGAGCTTGGAATCTCAGGATTCTCCAGCGTTCGTACCGATCAGACAGAAATTGCCAAGAACGCCGTCTCCACCTCCAGTTCCCATTCCAAGGTAGGTATGATCTCTGTTCTCTCAAATTTTCTGTCTGCTGAAGGCCAACTTTTGCTACTTTCGAACACACCCAGGAAGAGCCAAAACCGGCATTAGTTCAGAACGTTCAACGAGGTATTTAAATAAATAATGTGATTGAAAACACAGATTCTGTTTTTCAGAGTCCATTAGTAGTACTATAGAGGAAAGAAAAGGTTAGTAAGAGTTTACGCTTTGGAACGGTTTGCTATGTACAAAAATTTGTTCACAGCTTAACTTTTTTAATCGCTTGATTTTTTGTGCTTAGTTTCACAACGAAAAGAACCGAGAAGACGAAGAAGGAGGTCTTATCGATCGCGTTCTCCACGTTATCGGAGATATGAAAGATATACAAGAGAAAATAGAAGAGAGCCTAGACAATATTATAGAAGAGAATATAGTCGAGAATTTAGAAGAGAAAGAAATTATTTTGAATCAAAATTACGCAAATATAAGAATGATTACCGACCACGTCGGTATAGTAGGAGATATGGTATGCACCTCTCGCTTGTCATAGCTTCTTGCATGTGCACGAGTTCTTTCGTAGTTATCGTGGAAAATTGATTGGTTCTAGAATATCACAAGCCTCCGCCTTATAACACACTACCTCCAATAGGGTTTAATCAATATGCGGAACCACCTCCTCCATATGGTAAAATTGCTTGAACTTCCGTTGTATTCACTTCTATACTGCAGATGGAGATGATTTTTCAAAACAATCAATTCCTTCAACTTCTGATAACAGGGAAAAAGGCCGAGATAGTCGACAGAAAAGAAGAAGTCGTAGAAGCAGGTTAGATCAACCTCAGATTTACAATTCATTTCTTGTATTCTGCAGCACTTCCGATTCTAATTCTTCCTCAAGTGACAGTAGTTCGGATTCTACTTATTTAACTGTTGAGAAGAAAGAGAAAAGTTTGAAGTATACTTGTGCCAAAGAAGGTCAGATATTGGAAAAGAAGGTGAAAACGATTACTTACAAACGCAAAGAAGCCAGAAAAAGTGATACTAAGGTAAAGATAGTTTAACTATATCTAAAAATATTAATTGGTGTTACAGTCTTCTGGTCTACAAAATATAAGTAGTGACGAAGCAAGTGATCGGGATGAAGTTAAAGAAAAGTTAGTTACACTTTCTGAGATAATAGTTTTCTGTCGATTATAGGCGGAAGCAAGATCATCGATGGAGTAGCTCATCATCTGAGAGTGAAGACGAGAGAAAGATTCGTAGGCATGAATTGTCAAGAAAGGTTAGTTAGACATTCAATCCAATATAATTCCTTCTCTCCAGAAACGTAGGGAAGTTACCAAACTCAGCAGTTTTGATATGGGTTCATCTCACGAAACTGCCATTTCTCGCACATCTTCTGTTTCTGACGTTCATGTATCCGCGATCATTCCACCTGTTGTAATGCAACCACCACCTCATCCTATGATTCCTGTGTTCAATCCCAATCAGCCTCCTCCGATGATTCCATTTCATCTGCCGCCTCCAGTTCTCAATCAGTACAGCACCCCACCTCCAATGGTATGCAGTTAGGCTATTGATTTTTTTAAACTGAAATAACAGTTCAATCCTGTACCAACTGCTCAGCCGCTCCCAACGGTGGAACTCCGATTGTTTGACAGTCCTCCTAGAGAAAAACCTTCATTGGAGGACCGTCTTGCGAGTCTTTTCGGATCAACTCTAGATGATGGTGATGACATGCCTCTTGAAACTACAATGAACACGTATGAATTGCTTGTCGGATTCGTGGTGAACTTTTTTTTACTATTATAGAGAATTGCCTGTTAACAACCAAGTAGAAGACATGGATGTTGATGTAGATTCAGATCGTTCCCCAGCTTACGTTGCAGCACCAGTCTGTGAAGAAGAAGAAGAGGATGGGAAACCTGAGCTATATGTATGAATTATCAGTCTTACTTTTAGCCTTCATCTTTTGAACTTCAGAAATGCACAATGGAAACTATTTATCATGCCATCGTGGCTGATATTCGAAGCGATCTTTGCGATGTGTTAATAAAGGATTTACAAAATAGATTGCAAACTCATGCTTTCCAACTCCTGGAACAACGATGGCAATCAAGGAGGTCAGCATTAGAAGTAGAGAAAAAGAACCAGGTGCGTGAGACTGCCACTTACTTTACATCTCCATGCATTCAGGCCATTGCTGCTTTACGAGCTTCACAGGATAGTAGTACATTCAAGCCATCACTGGAATTCAAAATGGTAATTGTTATAATAGATTCAAATTGAATGCGACCGGTTGCCATGTTTATGAAATCAAAATGATTACGAAAGAGCGCGCGAAAGAATTACTGAAAGTTTGAATGTTTTGAAAAAGTTGCTTCAACAACAACAACGTCATCAACGTTATAGAGACAAAGGAATATTATCAATGATTATAATAGTTTAGTATAGTAAAAGTAAAGGTTAAAGTAGTTTTCTCATATTCTTCTTTTACAGTTGCCATCGTTTTCAATTCCAAAGAAGTTCACCTATCATAAGGTTCTATATCCTATTTTAAATTCCCTCATAAAATCTTTTTAGAAAGAACAAGTTGAGCCTATAGCTACCCCATCAACTTCTCAGTTGTCCGGTGAATCTTCGTCTTCTGATCATGAGGAAAAGTATGTGCTTCTAATGTTTCACTCGATTAAATTTTTTTTTGAAGCTCCAAGTCCGATAGCGATCCGGTCGCAAAGAAAGGAAAGAAGGAAGTCATCAGGTGTTGAGTCATAATTCTGACATTTACTTATGATTTTGTTATAGTTCATCTTCTTCGGATGAAGAGGTCGCAGAAGTGGTAGAAAAGCCGAAAATGTTCGGTCTTGTACGAGGTAGGAAGCATGTGAAAACATAATGGTTCTCATTTTGTTTCAGAATCATCTGACTCGGATATGGAATTGACAACTAATACTGAGGTTTTAGAAGCTCGTTTAGCCATGCGAGATCCACTGGTGAGTTATATGTATTACGTTTATCTTTTTGTTTTGTACACGAGTTCTTTATTTCTTCATTGCCATCAATTGGTTCTTGTTCCAGAATGCACCTTACTTCCCTTGGCCAGCAAGTACTGTAAACTACGACGCATTGCCAGAGCCTTCAGAGGTTTTCCAAAGAAGAGATTACCATGTTACTCTAACGGAACATTGCTACCACAAAATAAATAGGGTAATCCAAGAAGTTCTTATAATATATCGAAATTTATATTGTAGTTGGTACCAAAGCGAGAGTACACTGAAGAACCTGACGACTCATCAAGAATCCCCCCGAAGAAGCCATCAAAAATTTCTCGACCCTTCAAACCGTCTAAAAAGTTATTTCGGGACAAATTTCCTAACTCCTATTTCTATTACAGAATAACTCGAGACGAACAACTGAAGAAAATTACGTTCCCTCCACGAACGGATGAAGAGAAAAGGAAAATAATCTATGAATGGGATGTTAGTTACCCCTTGACTTCCCCTGTTTCATTTCTAATCCTCAGGGTTGTTTCGATGCTGAAGATCAGAAATTCTTGGAAATGGCACTCAGCCAATTGCAGCCAGAGCATGGTCCTCCTCCTCCATGGAAGCGAAGAGTTCCATTTATACCTACTATCTGCTCTTCAGCACAAGTATTTGAGGATGTCGAAACATATTTTAATTTTATTATCATTCAGGATGACGATAAGTCTCAAGATTTTGAAGAAAGCTATGAGAAGTTCCTACCTAACACAAAAGGATGTGCCAGAGCCATGGGATATTTCAAACTTTCTTTGAAGCAAAAGAGATCTCTTATCAGAATGCCTGAAGAATTCCGACAAGAAACAACAAATATAAGCGAGCGCGTAAGTTTTCCTTCTTCATGCTTCTTCTAAGATAAGCTATATAGGATGAAGCGACTGCTCGACACCAAGCTCACCAGAATAAGGAAAGTCGAATTCTTCATCGTAGATTATTAACTACCATGGGAGATGATAAGAATGCAGAATTCTTCAAAGTGAATCAGTTGAAGTATAGGAAGAAAGTTATTAAATTTGCTCGTTCACGTATTCATGGATGGGGTTTATACGCTCTTGAGCCTATAGCCCCCGATGATATGATTATCGAATATGTCGGTCAAAAGGTATTTTTTTTTAAATCTTACACGAGCTCTTACTATCTTTCTTCTAGATCCGAAGCATAGTCGCTGATGAGAGGGAGATACAATATGTGAGAAGAGGAATTGGAAGTAGCTATATGTTTAGAATAGATGAAAATTGCGTAATTGACGCAACCCAAAGAGGAAATTTCGCCCGGTTTATAAATCACTCGTGTCTTCCAAATTGTTATGCAAGGGTATGGAAGAGTAGTGAAGACTGAACGTTCTGATGAATTTGTGTTTTACAGATTCTGACCGTTGAAGGAGATAAACGCATAGTAATTTATAGTAAAACTTTAATAAATAAGGTAAGTACTACATATGATGAAGCCTATGACCAATATGGTTTCAGGGGGATGAAATAACTTACGATTATAAATTCCCACTCGAGGATGACAAGATAGATTGTCTCTGCAATGCCCCTACCTGTAGAGGTACATTAAATTAAAATTCCGGTAAACGATCTCAAATTGTGATTCAAACTTTAAAACAAAGCTCAATACGATTTTTATTTTTATTCTACTTGTTCCAATCTCATAACATTGAATGTACTCACCCCTTGCACTCTTGTACTTCTGTAAATTCAGTCAGATCTGTTTTTTTGAAGATCTAATCATCAGAGCTGGTCTCGTATCACTCGTTAATCACCTGTTACACATATTATATTTTTATAAAAAGATAATTATTTTCCTCGTTTTTATCTAGAAAATGACAACTCTGTTGGTATAATTTATATATATTCCTTTGTTACCATATACGATATGTCTTATTTTTGAGCATAAATATAAATTTTTTGTTGGCATAATGAATAAGCAGGATGCGCCATTTTTACTTTTCAATTGTTTCGAATTCTCTTTCATGTGTTCATACACAGCTTATGATTCGCGTTCCTCAAGTATGGGCTATCCTTACACGGAGTTACAGGTTCTCTAACCCCACTTTCGCAGGGTTTAAGCAAGGTTTCTTTTCTTGTTTTTTTTGCTCAGTTGCATATATTACTTACAGCACGCGGGTCGGGGGACTCCGGTAAATCTTCCTTGTTCAATAATGAACGAAGATGGAAAGATGACGATTCATTCACTGCTCTTGGAGCAACTGATGAACTCTCTTCATTATTGGGGTACTGTTTACAGTAATGAACTCCATTCATAGCTAAGATTCTAGAGTCTGCATGGTGAAAGCTGAAAACGATGGTATTCATGACGTCGCTGAAGTCTTGACTCGTCTTCAATGTTGTCTCCAAGATATTGGTGCTCATGTTGCAACGCCTTCTAATTCAACAAAAAGAAAACTAGGTTTTCATTCTGTCTTACCCTTTCCACCATTTCGAGTCATTTTGAGATCTAACAAATATAGACCAGGAGATGGTGGAATGGATTCATAACGAAGTAGATCGTTTTGGAGACCAAATTCCTCCTATAAGACAATTCATTCTCTCTGTACTTATAAACTCTCTTCATATTTCAAATTTATGTTTAGGGTGGAGGTGAAACGTCTGCCATGATTCAATATGCTCGTGCCGTATGCAGAAGAGCTGAAAGAACCCTTGTACCTTTGGTCCGTGATGAGCAAGTTGATAAGCAAGCTTTGAAGTTTCTTAACAGGCAATCCAAATGCTTAAACATCTTATATATATACTGTACGTTTAGAATGAGCGACTTATTGTTCGTGTTGGGCCGATATACCTGTATGAAAAATGGCAAGGAAGAAGCTGTATATCTGCGTCCAAAAACGTTCACTGCTCAGAGATGGATAAGAAAGAAGTTGGAGGACAAGTCTCCTTGATAACAAATATACATGTGATAAAACAATATTCGTGCCGGTGACCGCGTTTTTGCCATAATAAACAGGAAATTAAATATTCTATTAATCTCTCAAACTGTTCAAGTGTTTACTTCTCTGTCATATTTATTTTCTGTTTCTCTAATCATTATTCGTATTTCTTTAGCATGAAGGATGTTCTGTACGATCGACAGCTTCGTTTATGGGGTGAGGAAGGACAGTCTTCTATCGAAGCTAGTTCGGTTTGTGTGATCGGTTCATCTGCACTAGGTTATTACAAATTCTGAAATTTTCTATAATTATTCTAATTGTAGCATCAGAGATTCTCAAAAGTTTAATATTGGCTGGAATCAAAAGCTTCTGTATAATTGATGATGCTGTGGTTACAATGCCTGATCTAGGACAAAATTTTTTCATTCAACGTTCAGAACTCGGGAAACACAGAGCCGAAGTAGTCACTCATTATTTAAAGGTGGTGTTTCTAAACACGATAATTTTTTTTGAAATAATTCATCTAGGAGTTGAGGGACTCCGTCATCGGAGAGTATATCATTCAGTCTCCTTATGACGTAAGAGATGAAGTGCTGGATAAGCTCCTCAACTTTTCTGTTGTAGTCACCACTAATGTCTCTGATCAGACTGCAATGAAGATATCTTCTCGGCTTTTCCCTGCTAATGTACCTTTCATCACCGCGAGGTATTACTCTGGTTTGTAGTCTGTAATCAACTGAACATTCAAGAGTATATGGTCTATTGGGATATATCAGAGTTTCCGCAAATGAGCATACAATCGCTAATAATCACAATGAGCATCTCAAACCCGATTTGAGGTATTCACTGCTTATTTGGAATCTCAATCAATGTTTTTTAAAAGATTGGATATGCCTTTCGAAACGTTAGCCAAGTTCATAGCTGATTCTCCTGCCATCACCGATCTAACAATAGAAGATGCTCGACACACTCCTTACTTGATTTTGTACTTCAAAGCTTTACAAGATTATCGCTTGGTAGAGTTAAATACATGCACTCCTCCAACCGAACCAATCTGTTCAGGCTTTGAAAGATCCCAACGCATTCCCATCGAATAGCAAAGAAAGAAATGCTTTTCTATCAACCATGAATGACTACCGAAATTTCTTCAATTCAGAGAAAACGATTTTCGATAACTTTAACGAAGCCAAAGCTGCGGTATATAGATGTTTAACAAGGACAACGGTTTGTTGAGCTCGGTGTACGTACTGAATTCCTGTCATATCTCTCAGATTCCCATTGAAGTTCAAGAAATCCTCAGTAACTCGAGGTGTAACAGAGAATCCAAATGTCAAGAACCGTTCTGGATCATATGCACAGCTCTCCGTCGATTTGTTGAACGACATTTCGTATTGCCATTAGCTGGAGGTATACCTGATATGACAAGTGACAGTGTCAGGTAACAGTAGTACCTTGAAATTTATTAATTTTCCAATTAAGATATACTAAGCTCGCTGCTTTGTATCATGAACAAGCTATAATAGATGCCAACGAAGTCTTTGAACTGACGAAAGAAGTTGAAAGTGAAAGAGGTCTGATCGTAAAATCTTTCTCTGAATTTTGTGAACTATAGATGTTGGTGATCTCATCAGTTCTCAACAGTGTTATAACTTTTGCAAGAACGCAGCCAAAATCCGCTTCATGCAAGGAACTCCAATTGGTCAGGAAAATCTCAATGTATCCTTGAAATTATTTTACACTTGTTCATGTATTCTTTTCTTTTAGGATATTGTCAGAAGTATAGCTGCTGCTGATAACGATGAAGTGTCTCTATCTATGTGGTTGTTGTTATTGAAGGCTTCTGACTTATTTTATCACCAGAAGATGAGGTTGCGGTCCTTTTTTATCAAGACTAAAAAGTGGTTTGTAGATATCCCGGTACCAATGGAGTTCCTTGGACCATCGATGCATTCGACTTGAAGCAGCGAATCAAAGTTCTGATCAATGAATCGGAGGTTGAAACGTGAATTGAATAAGCAACTTTCATGTCTGCTATTTAGATTTCGGAGAAAGATAGAGCGTTTAATAAAATCCCATCTTCAGCTATTGACGAGATATGTCGGTATGGAGCGTCTGAACCTCATGTTGTCGCTTCCTTAGTTGGAGGTAATTATTATATTTTCAAAAGTATAATTTCAATCACTTCTTTAAGGTATTGCTGCGCAGGAAGTGATCAAATTGGCAACAAATCAGTATGTCCCTGTTAGCAATGCCATTCTCTTTGATGGACATACTCAACAGACCCATACGTTTGAACTTTGAGAATCTTCCTCTTCTTTCATCGAAAAGAGCTACTAATGATCAATTCGATTGTATAAGTTGTAAGATTAATGAAGAATAATTTATTTGAACGGTGAAAGAAGCTATGTAATAGAAACATCGATAGTAGCTGAGCTAAATATGAGGATTCAATAATAGATTTCACGTTATTTCTCAGTACAGGGCTGCCGCAAGAACTTACTGAAGTTAACAAATTGAGGAATGTAAGAGCAATCTTTTGTGGATGAAAACGAAGCAGAAAAGGAAAAAATGTCATTCAAGCTATCAAGAAGAGACTCCATGACTATTGAACGGATTATGACATGAAATGTACAAGCATTTAGAAAAGGACAATTATTGATGATGCATTATCAGATACAAAAGAAATTAAAATTGATTATATAAAACAAACCGCCAGATCTACCCCTACAACATTTCATTCTTTCCATCTTCAACTTTAATGCTTGAAAGTTGGAAAGTTTTCAGTCGCTTTTTGGATACTAAAATGTATTATTGGTCCTGAAACGATTACTTGGCTTGTTGTTTAGCCATAGCGATGAAAGTCATTATATGATTTAAATATGATTGGATATCTATTAGTTTCCTTATATATTCAATACTCGAATATTAGAGAGATTACTTTGGCAATGCTTTGTATTCTGTCGTATTTTTGTTAATTTTTTTGTATTCAATCTGTTCATGTTTTGAATTCGTAGTTATTGCAGATCACCATATATTGATTGTTATCTAACGATTACCTTATGGATACTGACTCGTGAGTTTGCAGAAAAATTAATTGTTTTCTTATGATTTTTCTTTAGTTCTAGAGGTGAGTTATCATCGATTCCTCTACCGCCAGGCATGGATCAACCCTCGGGTGCCGGAGATCATGCTGCTTGGGCGAAAGCTTATGAAGCTTTGAAGCAGGTAAGCTGAACTTCGCCACCATCCGAGTACATTCACTTTTGTTTAGAATAATATCAATAATACAGCTCCACAGCAACAATGGAAAGGTGTTCAACCAAAAATAGGTTTACCGTTTCCGGGTTCTTCAGCGTCTTTGCCGTTTCCTCCTTTTCCTCCTCCGTACAATCCAGCAAACTCTTCTTTGCCTCCTCAAAACACTCACAATCAGTGGGTACCGAACATGAACAAACAGTGGGGTACGGAAAACCCAAATGGTCAAAATTGGCAGAACAGAGGCCCACAAAATAAATGGGGAAACAACCAACAGAACAGTTGGCAAGGAAATTCTGGACAGAAACAATGGATTCCTAAGCATGGGCAGCAGAACCAGAAGTTTCAACCTTTTGCACTAAACTCTTCAAAACTTCCGAATACCAATTTTAACCCTTCCAAAGTACCCCCTCCTGGTGTGGTTTCCATGAATACGCAGCCTTCAACCGTGTCAAGTCCCTTCGGTAACATTCCGGAAAATGCAAAGTAAATATAATATTCACTCAAACTCCTAATATGATGTTTTCAGACGATATGTAGAGCGTGCTTTCTTGGCTGCCCAAACTTCTGAGGATCAGAGAAAGACAACTGAGTATTTGGAAAAGAGACTTCAACCTCTCATCCAGGCAGGGTCTATCCGAGCTGTTCAATGGGATCGTGAACCTCTACCACATGAAAAAAATTATCAATTACCTGCGGCGTTGTGGATACCTGCAGCTGAAAGAAACAAAACAAACATGATGCCAATGAAACAAAAAAGATCTAGTCCTTCACCAGCAACGAGTGCTGGCAAAAGGGGACGACGTAGTTCAAGTTCTGAGTCGGATAGTAGTGTTTTCCAGGTTTTAAATTTTTCAATGATATTCGCACTTCATATGAGTAGTTGTGATGAGCTTATATGATGTTTCAGTCAAAGAAGAAAACAAAGAAAGAGAAGAAGTTAGAAAAGATGAAGAAACATATGGAGAACAAGTTGAAGAAGAACAATAAGGTTCGTTGATGTAAGCTTCTGATCCTAATTTCGTTATAGAAGTTAAGTGAAAGATGGGAAGTAAAGGACGATGAAAATAGGTAAGCTATCCCTTGCATGAACTTCTCTCAAGCAATCCCATTTCAGATTAGTAGAGAGAGCACGTCGATTTGAAAAAGATTATCAATTAGCTGCACCAGCTATTTCTTCTAGGCTTATAATGAAGGGACAAGTTATCAAAGGAACTTGTCAAGACATTGAGAAGAAATTTTTCAGATTAACTGCTGTTTGTACATTTTTAAACTTTTTTTTCAATTCATAGATCTTCAGGCTCCCGATCCAAGTCTTGTTCGCCCACTTGAAGTTTTAGAAAAGTCATTAGAACACGTGAAAGAGAAATATCGTAATAAGAAGGAATATATGTATCTTATTGATCAGCTTCGTTCCATTAGGTTTGAATGTTGTCACTATTCCAGCTAATCTTTTTCTTTCAGACAAGATCTCACTGTTCAACGGGTAAGAAATGAGTTCACTGTTTTGGTGTATGAGATAAACGCTCGAATATCTTTAGAATACAAGGATAGGGAGGAGTTCAATAAAGTTTGTTTTGTTGATCTTCGTTTTTATATGTTCATGATTCCAGTGTCAAAGTCAACTGAAACTTTTATATTCCGAAGTGGATGATTGTCCTAATCAAGCTGAATTTGTAGCTTATCGTCTACTTTACTATGTATCGATGGGAAAAACATTGGATATATCCACCCTCCTGAAAGGTATGGCGTTGTAATGTTCCCCCAAGTTATTCGTACTGTTCAGAAATTACTCCAAAGCTTCGACGCGACACATGTATCAAGTTTGCCTTACAAGTACGGGAATCTGTGGCTCTTGGTAACTATGTCAAATTTTTCCGTCTTTTCAAGGTAATATTTTGTATTTCTTTTTGAGTTTCAATCTTTTCTTGACTTCAGGATGCTCCGAAAATGTCTGCTTTCATTATGGACTTGTTCATTGAAAGAGAAAGAAAACGGGCTTTGAAATCTATTTTCCAAGCGTAAGTCATTGTTGTTTTCGAAATTTGAAAATTTCAACATTTTCTCAGATATCGCCCCACTTACCCTTTGAGTAAAATAGAAGATCTTCTTGCTTTCGAAGGTAACGAATTAGAAGAACTTTTGGTGGAACTTGAGATAGAGAGCCAAGACGGTGTAATTGATTGTCGAGCTTATGCCTCGAAAGCTTTATAGATTCTCTCAAAGTACAGGTTGGATTTGAATGTAATAATTTGTGTATAGTTTGGCCGGTAGTTCTTTAACTTTTGTCTGTCAGAATTTTTATTCAGTTCCATCGCTATCTTTCGACTGTTTGCTGGCTACCTATTATGGTCAGCGTTCGGTTTTCTCTAGTTTTTTGTGTTATATAATGTTATGGAATGTTAGAAAGCGCAGATCTGAATAAAATATTATTTAAACATTTGGGTGAATACAACGAATAGAAGTATATATAACACAGATTGAAGTGAGAATTGAGAGACGTCAGGCTTGGAATGAATCTGACAGGCCCCGACGGCCATGTTAGTAAGGCGTAAAACGATTTCCTGCCGTCGGCTTGTGAGTTGCGGCTCCAGACCCTGGTGGGCTTGTCCCTTTGAGCAAAGGCGATCCCATCAACACACTAAACAGGTATTAGCATTAGTAAAATATGTATATTTAGAAAAAAAAGATTGTCTAGCATAAAACTACAGACACAGACATGGACTGAGAGGTGGACGGCCACAAGAGAAAGACGTATTGCGAAAAAGCGAATCATACAATGTTTTTTTTCGGATTTGCCGTTCAATATTTATTTTCTACTATCTTCACAGATGGAATAAATGAAGGAGATAGGTGAATGACAGAAGAACATTCCATATATGGTTTTTTAACTATATGTCAATGTCGATACACTACCTGTTGTTGAGAGCTGCGTAATGGCTCATAAGCTCCATATGTTTCTCTTCGGACCATTGCGCTCCGGGTTGACCATGTTGTGCTTGATGGTTCAGAGGAAGGATCAATCCATTTCCAGCTAGCATGCTGTAGTCGAGAGCTGCGTGACCTGCAGAGAAAAGTGTAAGAAGAGAAGCAAAGTTTTTTTTGTGGAATTCGGAGATTATATGGTCAGGAGAATTTGCATAAGATACGGATCAGAATCTCATTAGAGGAGAATCAAGTTTTGAGTTATGCGATAGCCCCTAACCTCTCTATTCGCTCAAGCTCGCTTTTGAACCCAAAGCATATTCGAATTATGTAAAACTAATTTGAAGCTAATTTAGTAATAATCTTGTGACATACTAACCGTTCCTATAATCAAAACCAAAAATTGCTAATGAAAACACAAAGGGAAAGACTATAAGGTTCAATCTTACCCATAATGAGTAATGAAAGAACTGAACGCCCATGTAAGGTTTTTAGCTAATGAGGAGATAATTAGAGTACTAGATAGCTTTGCATGCTTGACGTAATCGCAATTGACTATGAAAGCAAAGAAAATGAAAAAATGGAAGATTAATCTCTATCTGTGAAAGTAGTTGTTGGACGGTAGGGGAAAAGAATAGAAAAATCACGACAACAACAAATATGGAAAAAGCTTTAAACTGGCACAGCTTGGTGATGGCAAGAGCAACAAAATGAAAGTTTCATTGATTATGAGAAATGAGAAGATGATTAGAAAGAAAAGAGGATAGTCACCCGTTATATTGAATGTTAGACCCGATAGGAAGGTAAATGATGGAATATCAAAAGCTTTCTTAATGCTATGAATAGTGTGAACTACAGTAATCTGTTACTACTACGACTGCTACTACTACTACTGCTACTACTACTACTAGTCTATTCAGGAAAAACGAATGAAACAATATTTGAAGCGTTTTGCTATGCAATTTGATCCATGTAAAAGCTTTTTTTTTCTCGTCTTGTTGTTGTTGTGGTTGTTGAAAAATCATAGAAAGAAAGAGAGAGGATAGTACCTTGGGGGTTGAGGGTAGTAGCCGGGGGAGGTAGGAAGGTGGCTCCATAGGCGGCAGCCGCTGCAGCTGCGGCTGATGACGTTGGTTGATGTAAGGCACGTGCTGCCAGCTGAAAACACAGAGAAAGATGTCGTCAAAGGTAAGAAAATAAGGTTTTTAAGGTTGGAAAACCAGGGATAAAACAGAGTTTAGGTTGGTGCTAATGGAACAAAGTGCTAATAGCTTCGGATGGATGCGAAGCCCTCAACCAAGCTTTGATAAGTTCAATCACACTGAACCCAAACGCTAGACGATACACGCAAATTAAATATTCTATAAAATTGATGATGTTGACGTAGACGTCACTTGACAAATAGTTTCCATCATGGCACATGAAATGAAGTAAGTGCTTCCTGATCTCCAACTTTTTATTTTCTTGTTTTTCGTTGGCGTCGAGATTCATAGAATTGCTTCTATACAACTGAACTTCTCACGTGTTTACAGTAAGCTGCGGAAATATGGCTCCGGAACAGAAAAAAAAGAAAATTGAACTTAAGAGCTTCCACGTTTGATTGAAACCGAATTCTCTATATATCTATCTCTTTCTTTCACTCTCTCTCTCTCTTTCTCTCTCTCTCACTCTCCCTCTCTCTTAACACTTGCATCACCTGTAACACAACTGTGTTGTCTTCTAGTTATTGATTTTCTCATTTTACAGTTTTCAAAAATAAGAAAACAACCCCTTGTTATACTCTGTTGAATCCGCTGACAATCCTGTACATTCTGTGGTTTATGGATGAGAACGTACCTCTGGTGGAATCATGTTGATGGACAATGGGTTTTGAGACAGAAGTGTTGGCTGAAATAAGGCTGCAAGCTGTTGCTGTTGTTGAGCAGCTACAGCAGCAGCAGACGAAGCTATCAGCACGGGATTGAAGGTAGGCTTTGGACGAAATGGTAATGTAGCTCCTTTGGGTGGTGCCTAGAAGAATGTGAATTAATTAAAATAATAATAACATTAACATTTTCATAATATAATAATCTTTTTAATCATAATGAATAAAGGGTGTTTACATCAGAATCGTTACAAATGACGTAATTGTAAGGAGAGTAAGTGTGCGTGACGTGAAATATCACGTGGATTTACACGTACACAATCTCATTTAGATTTTTGGTACAGCATACAGTGCGGTTGTGTTCATTTCATTTACTTTATGCGAATTCGTTATTCATCTTATATGTATGTATGTTGTTCATCCCTCAATATACAATGTATCCATGTGTGAATATCGAGGATGAAGCTACACAGATGATTGCTAAGCTTGACCCCCATTAAGATGCTTGTAGCTTTTCAATATTGCTTGTGAATGTGTACATTTAGAGAAACATAATGTTTCTGTTTGATTTTCAATGATTCAATGTATTACTTACCTCAAGAAGTATTTGACAAACATGGTAAATACATAGAATGATAGCATCAGCTGTTCCTGATATGGTGACAGCACGTTCAGTTGAACCAGGTAACATCTCCGAAGCAACTTGAATAGAAGCACCCGTTCCCTATAAATATATATATTTAGCTTCATTGATACTATCCATTGTATGGGTCTCTAGATGTGTGTATATGTATGTGTGTGTGTGTGTGGGTCCAGATTTCAACCTAATAAGTAAGTGTCACTGCAATAGGTTTAAAGCCTTGAAACTATAAATAGCCGATAAAGCTTCTAATTGAGTTTGAAGAGAGAAATGAGAACGCGCTTTTTTTGTTCTTCAAAATAAAGCTTTACGAGCTGCGAAGAAAAAAAAACTTTCTTCTTTTGTGTTCCACTTGTGTCATCATCGTACAAGCTCATCTCTCTCTCCCTTTCGCTCCCTCTCGTTCCCCCCTCTCTCCCTATTCCATTGCATTCGAACTTCAATTATACATTTAAGCTGTTCATCTGTATGAATTTAACTATTTTTCAGATAATTTTGAGTCATTTAAGCAAATAAGACAAATGACTAACTGTTATCAACAATCACAACTATCATTTCTCGCTCTCTTATGTCAATATTTGATAAAATATTATTATTTTAAACATAAAATAAGCTAAAGCTTAATAAAGTAGTACAGATGCTTCTTCTACTTGTTCAACCATCTCATACACACGTACTCATACATACGTAGTCATACACACGTAGTCATATACACGTACTCATAGACACATACTCATAGACTCACCACAATCATATACACATATAGATAAACACATCTACTATCATATAGTTATAGCAGATGATTCATAATTATGCTTACAAGTAACCAACCTCACGAATTTCTTTTATCTTTGATCCACCTTTGCCAATCAGAGAGCCACATTGGGTGGCTGGCACAATCAATCGCATAGTAATGGGTGGCTTGGGAACGGAGTTCGGTAAAGCCAGCATATCCTTAACAAATGAATATTAATTATATCAATATATACTTTTATTATTATTTAAATTCAAAGTAGACTGTGAAATCATAATCTCTCAACGTGTTCAGAGAAGTTTCATGCTCACTTGGTGGTCATTTCTTTCATCACCCCTCATTCATCTCGTCTGCTTAACCCCCTCATCATCATCTTCCCTTCGTTGCTCATCCACAGACTCTCTTCTAACCCTCTTATTGAATGTTTTTAAGAATATAATTGAAGACTATTTGCTTAAGTTAGATGAAAAATAATTTTCGTTTTTGTCGTCCTCGTCGTAAGACAAGAAATTGTCAATTATTATTTAGCAATTTGAGAAGAAGGCTGAAGATGACGATGCACATTGTATCCAAAGGTATATCATATTAAAGGAGACATATACACCGATTGCCATTTGATAGCTTTAAGGTATGGTGTTTCGCTTCCTAGCTTTTCGCTCTTTCATCCTACCCTACCTTCTATTTCTCTCATTCTCTCTAGATATCACCGTCTATCTCAACACTCCTTATTCTTACAGCTCTCCCACTTCTTCTTCATGTTTTTGTACACTCTCAACAAAAAGCATAATGTTCATTCTCGCTTTTTTTCTTCTTCTTTTCCTCTCCTTCGTCTTCCCTCCAACTGATGAACATCTTGCCTGCGATGTTCAAGGAGTTGGCTGGCAGATGCTTCATCGAAATGAGTCTGGGAAACAGACACGAAAAGGCTTGAAGCTCTTCTCGTTCTCCCTCTTACAATCTTCATTCAATTGCCAAATAATCATTACTTTATAAAAAGGATTTTGTGTGTGTGTGTGTGGATGCGAAAAGAAGCAAAAGCTTCCAAAATTTTGAGCCTAAGGACCTTTTCATAATCAAAAATGAGCTTTAAAAACTTAATAAAGTTTGAAAGAGATTGAATCATAGAGAGAGAGAGAGAGGGAGGGAGATGGAGAGAGAGAGTAGATGTTGACAGAATTGAAAGTTAAACGAACTTCTTCAAATTTGTTGCAGATCATTTCGAATGCTTTGTTAATTGTGTTCAAGGTTCCAGTAATGGTAACTATTCGTTCAGGACATGATCCATCCGAAATATTAATTTTCGCTCCAGATTCTTCACGAATTCTCTTAACTTGATCACCACGTTTGCCAATAATGCTACCAACTTCCTTTAATAATACATATAATTAGCATAGTCAAGATATATCTGAACATACTTTTCCCTGCATTAACAGCCTGATGGTTAGCACTTGATTTACATTATTTCCTGAACCTGTTGGAGAATTAGAGGACGATGGATCACCCGTGTGTTCTTGTGATGAGCTATAACAATAAATATATAATAAACTATTTATAATTATATAATAATATAGTTAATTATATGAATCAGGTAGTATAGTTAGCATCATAACGAAACTGTCTGATCATCTCTTGTAGTTCAATCTCTCTCTCTATATTGAAATCAAAAAAGGAATTGAATAGAGTAGAAAAAGAAAAAATAATCTTTTTTCAAACATATTTCAATTAGCTTAAGTGAAGCTTAAACATGATGAAATCTTAAGAAGGAGCTTAAAAACTTAAACAAACCTATTATTATTATTATTGCTGGCATTGTTGGTATTGTTGCTATTATTACTATTACTAATATTATTATTATTATTATTATTATTATTTATACTATTGCCACTGTACATTTGAGTTACTGGAGCACCAGCGTAAACTGACGTTGGAACATTGCCCATACCGTACTGAATGTACGAAGACCCGTTTAATAGAGATGGATCCATTCTATAAATATATAAATATATTAAATATATTCATTAACTATATCATATAAAATTATATAAACGATAACATATATAGTAAGAAAATAACGAAATATATAAGAAAATGTGGAAAAATTGGATGACTAAACTGAAAGCACAATGTGATAAGGAGGAAGGAGGTGATATCTAGATAACTTTCGAAACATTTGTATTTCCTTCACACAATTCGTTTGATGACAAAACGTTGTTCAATTAGTATCAACTACTACTTCACAGCGTTCAATGTTACTTCTTGAAAGCTAGCTTTCTCCTCTCTATCTCTTTCTCTCTCTCAAGCTCTCTTATTCCATGAGAATACGTTCGTATGGATAAGCAAAGCGTATTGAGCTGAGGTCCTTCTTCTGTAAAACGAAAGCGCTCACGGTAACGTGGAAATCTCAAGATGTTATACCAAAAATGGATGAGAAATTAAAATTTGAAAAGAAAAAAGGCGAAAATGAATTGGAAAATCGATGAAGAAGAACGTACAACTCTGGTGGTCGTTGATTAGAAGATTAAAAGCTTTTAATTGATTCAAAAATCCCCAGATCAATAAAAAAGCAAAAAAAGGAGAAAATTTTCTTGTGAAAGACAATTGGATTGAAGAGTGAAAATACGAAAGATTATGAGAAGAAAGTTGAATTCAGAGAGAGAGAGAGAGATTGATAGATAGATAGAGAGAGAGGGAGAGAGAGAGCGAATGTTAAAATCAGTTTCTTCCATATAGAGTTATGATGTACATATAGGAAACTGGGCAATAGAGAGCCGAATGAAAGGGAGGAAAGTAAGGTGTTGACGATAAGATAATAAAAGCAAAGAATTATTGATTTAAAAAATTTGTATAACTGTCTGGAATCTCGTTATTTCGTATACTGTTTTGGATGTTTTACACTTAACGATTGTAGTCAAATATGGAAATGATAAGACAAGAGGTCGAATGATTCTTTCTAACCTCACCCTTCATGTTCACTCTTTCCTTCTCCAATACTCTGACTATCATTCTCTTTCATTTCTACTCTCTAACTTACTCTCTTCCTTTTTTATTCCCTCCTTTCTCTTTCTCTCTCTCTCTATCACTCTCCCTCTCTACATCACATGAGAAGATCAAGAAATGAAATTTTATAAAGTTTAAAGGGGAAAAAGCAAAAAGAAACTCTTTCTTCTTCCTTTTTTTGTTTCTCTCCTCGTCATGTTACTCCTCATACATTCTGTTCAAACGAAAATCCATCAGCATTCACTCAAGCCATAAAGCTCAAGAGAAAAAAAGTTTCTGACAAGAACGGAATGAGAGACTGACCAGAGCATTGACGATGATGAGCTGGGAAGAAAATTGGTGATGGTCGTAGAAGATGGTGGTAGGCCAAACGAAAAGAGCAAAAACATGAGGTCCATAGGGTCTGCTGGGCTGTATTTGACAGCTTCAAATTATAAAGAATAAACGAAATATTTGTGAAAAAAAAGAGTTTGTGTGTACAAGGAGACGTGTGTATGTATATGCATGTGTGTGAGTCGGTGTGTGTGTACGTGTACGTGTCTCTGCATGTGTATGTTTTCCAGATTCATTGCAAAAAAGGTAGATATTAGCTAGATTTTGGATAGAAAACAAAAAGAAACTTGAGATTCAATAGGCTGAGCAAGGAGAAGCTGAAAATCTTGAAAATGTTCGCTCGAGGCGATGGCCTTTGTATTGTATTAGCATAAAGACTTGTAAAGGGAAGATGGGCCAAAAAAACGAGGGTGACAGCAAGAGAATGAGATAGATGGATAGAGAGGGAGTGAGAGAGAGAGAGGGATGCAAGAAGTAAGAAAGGAAAAGAAGCAGTTTTGAAATGAAGTTGGAAGATAACAACAGCCGAATGAACACATTCGCCGTTCGAAAGGTCAAAAAGATTTGGGAAAAGCTTTGAGATTTCCGGAATAAGTAGTATAAGCAGGGAATCTGTAGATCAAATGAGAAAAAGAAAAAAAAGAGCTTCTCATGTAGTTAGTAAGCTGGAGATGTAATTTATCGATATCTGACACACGTTGGATGTGTGAGTGTCTGTGTGTTGACTGGTTAAGCTTCGGTTTTGGTCCTCTTTTCCCATAGTCTATACTAATCAAATCCGTGCAGGCATTGCAGAAGAGGCGTGGCATAAACGATGAGCAAATGAATGAGGGTGACGAAAAAGGAGAATAAAGCTTGAATCTTTGTTGCATTACACACAAATGCTGTTGAGAGAGAAATTATGTAAATGAACAAGAGATAGAGAGATGTACAGAGAGAGAGATAGATAGACAGTTGAAGAAGGAAGAGAGATATGGAGGTGAAGAGAAAATGCTAAAATGTGAGAGAAAGAGGAAGCATAGATAATAGGAAAGTATTCCCGTATGGAGATCGGTCCATTTATGGTGCTCAGGCACTATGTGCCCTAAAACTTGTTCATTACCACCTCACCATGTGACGGTTGGAAGCTTTTTCTCTCTTATTGGCTAAACCCACTACTTTCTCCCCCTCTTATTTCATCCTCTCAGCCTTCTATTGTCTCTCCCTCTCTTTCTCTCTTCTTCACTCCAACTCTATCAATCTCTCTTTCCCTCTCCCTCTGAAGCTGTCTTTATCAGTTATGTCATAATATTTTTATTGACAAATCTCAAGGTATTACATATATTTCAGAGTATATTTCTTTTTTCTCCCTCCCTCTCTCTCTCTACCTCTCTCTCTATCTCGATTTCTCTCACAATCAAACTTGTCTTTTGTTTGTCCAACAAATTGTTTTTCTTCCGAAAGGCAGAAAAGAAAAAAGAAAAAAAGATTTCGGAAAATCAGTTGGACCATCTGTGTGATGATGATCGTTCGGGAAAAGCTAGTAAGCTTCTGACATGTGAACAGAACATCGTTTATCAAAAAAGTAAAAAAAGGAGAAGAAAGCTGAAGAACGGCTACTTGAATCATTAAGAAAAAGATTTAATCGAAAGAGGAACATATCATTTCTACATGATGAACATGCCATTTTTGGAAACAGCCCTGAGGCGTTAAGCTTTGAGCTTGTTGTTATTGCGAACAGACGTCGGTGGATTGGAATTCGAAGACATATTGGACCTTAGTATATTCAGTTTGTGAATGAAAACGATGAGAAAGGTCGATTGGGAGAGCTTTACGTGTGAATGGGAATAAAGATAAGATATTTCAAGAATTTCAAAAATTTATTAAGAACTTTCAATAGTATGAAAAAGAGAGAGAGAGGGGGGGGGGAAGTAGTTGGTATAGAGGAGGTAAAGAAGCTGGAATAGAGGGTAAGTAAGAAGGGAATTGGCTTTGATAGAGAGAGAGATAGAGAGAGAAGAGCCTACAGAGAGATAGAGAGAGAAATGTCGCCTAAAAAGCAAATTAATTTCGATGGATTGCTAATTAGCCTTCCAAGTGCTAAAAACATGAAAAGCTTAAAACTACAGTAAAATGAATTAGAGATGGTAATTAGCTCATAAATGAAAGAAAATTGTTGTTCAATCTTCCTACATTTACGAACTAACTCACAAAATCTTTTTGTTCACGCATTTCCAAATGCGGGAAAGGTTGTCTGGGAGAGAGAGAGATAGAGGGAATTAGTAATAGAGAGAGAGAAGGGATATAGAGAGGGTAAATCAGAAACACAGCTTCTGCTTGTCTCTATTTCTTCTTCCGTCTTGGTTTCTTTTTTTTTTTTTTTTGTAAAGAAACTGTCGGTTTCCAAAAATGTTTAAAAAGGCGGCTAAGACAGAACAAAAAAGAAAAAGGAGATGAAGACAAGAAAACGAACCAGAAGCTTCAGCTTTAAGATGATGACGAAGAAGAAGAAAAGAAGAAGCAGGATGAATCGGTTGTATGTGAGTGTGCGGCAGCAAGTAATCTGATACGGTCTACTCTTTCTTCAACTATTCTTTTCTCTCTCCTATTTCTATATATTTCTATCTTATATGCTCTGAGCTGCTTTTACATAGAACCAGAAAGAGGGAAAGAGAGAGAGAGAGAGAGAGAGAGAGAGAGAAAGAGGAGTTAAGGCTTCTAGCATTTGATTTGGATAACGGACATCTACCAATTGAGGGAACATAGAATGATCACAAGAAGGAGAAAGGAAAGGATGGGAGGGGGGGTTGAAGGTTGAAGACATACATGGTCAGCTATGCATATATCGAAAGCATACGGTTAATAACTTACTTAAACAATATGCTTTTTTATATTATAATGAATAGAATGATTTATGGCTTAATTTGCATATTCAATTATGACGTTGAACGAGCAAGCTTGCATTGTTCACGTGAAACTGACCAGACAAATTGTAATGATTAGTGCTGTGTTTGTCTCATCACAATCACCAGTCGGTTGCATTCATCTTCAATTTATGAAGAATATAGAAGCATACAGGATGTGCCTTGTATGTATGTGAGCATATAAAGGCATAGATTGTATAGTTAATGAGATAAATCTTGAATATGTTTATATTATATATCTAAGAGAGAGAGAGAGAGGGAGGGAGAGGAGAAAGGGGAGAGAGGGCTAAGAAGTTTTGTTAAACGTCAAACATATTCTCAGTCTTGTTGGTAGAAAAAAAAATTTTTTTTCTTTCTTTCTCTCTCTCTCTCTCTTCACTCGACTTGCTTTTCCCTTATTGAGAAATTGCAAATGAAAAAGCTGAGAAAATGTGATGTAGAAAGTGAAAACTGAGCACATTTAGTAATGTGTTGTTGTAGAATATTAATTAATGTATATCTAACTATATATAGAATAGATACTGAATACTATATCCATATAGTTAAGGAGAGGATTTTATAATTTTGTTGAAAAGCGACAAGATTTTTCAAAAAGATATTTGAAATTAGTGCACACAACTGTCAGCATTTGAAAAGTTACAACAACGTTTCATAAAGTTCGTTAGAACAACGAGTAAAATATAGATTTGTGGTGATGATGAAGCTTATGATGATGAAGCTGGTGATGATAATGATGATGAGAATGATGAGAA